CTCTCCTCTCTCCCAGTCTCTCCCAGTCTCTCCTTCTCTCTCCCAGTCCTTCCTCTCTTCCTTGTTCTCTTCTCTCCTCTCTCCTTGTTTCTCTCCCCTTGTCTCGCCTCTCTCCGTCTCACTCTATCCCTGTCTCTCTCCTCTCCTGTCTCTCTCCTCTCTCCCTGTCTCTCCTCTTCTCCTGTCTCTCGTCTTCTCATCCCTGTCTCCTCCCCTCTCTCCCTCTCCTCTCCCTCCTTTTCTCCTCCTCTCCTTCGTCTCTTCTCCTCTCTTCTTGACTCACCTCTATCCCTGTCTCTCCTCTCCCTGTCGCTCCTCTCTCCCTGTCGCTCCTCTCTCCCTGTCTCGCCTCTCTCCGTCTCACCTATCTTCCTGTCTCTCCTATCTCCCCTCGTCTCTCCCCTGTTCTCTCCGTCTCTCCTCTCCCTGTCTCTTCCCCTATCATCACTCCTTCTTGTTCTCTCCTCTCTTCTCTCGTCTCTCCTCCTCTCTCCTTGTCTCGCCTCTCTCCCTGTCTCTCTCTCTCTCTCCGTGTCTCTCCTCTCTCCCTGTCCCTCCTCTCTCCCTGTCTATCATCTCTCCTCGTCTCTCCTCTCTCGTCTCACCTATCTTCCTGTCTCTCCTATCTCACCTCGTCTCTCCTCTCTCCCCGTCTCTCCTTGTCACTCCTCTCGTCTCTCCTCTCGTCTCTCCTCTCTTCTTGTCTCTCCTCGCTCCCTGTCTCTCCTCATCTCTCCTCTCTCCGTGTCTCTCTTCTCTCCCGGTCTCTCCTCTCCCGGTCGCTCCTCTCTCCCTGTCGCTCCTCTCTCCCTGTCTATCCTCCCTCCGTGTCTCTCCTCGTCTCTCCTCTCTTCTTGTCTCACCTCTCTCCCTGTCTCTCCTCTCTCCCGGTCTCTCCTCTCTCCCGGTCTCTCCTCACTCCCTGTCTCTCCTCTCTCCTCTGCTTGTCTCTCCTCTCTCCCTGTCGCTCCTCTCTCCCTGTCTCTACTCTCTCCCTGTCTCTCCTCTCCCGGTCTCTCATCTCTCCTCTCTCTGTGTCTCTCCTCATCTCTCCTCTCTCCGTGTCTCTCCTCTCTCCCTGTCGCTCCTCTCTCCGTCTCTCCTCACTCCTTGTCTATCCTCTCTCCCTGTCTCTCCTCTCTGCGTCTCTCCTCTCTCCCTGTATCTCCTCTCTCCCTGTCTCTCCTCTCTTCTTGTCTCTCCTCTCTTCTTGTCTCGCCTCTCTCCGTCTCACCTCTCTCCCTGTCTCTCCGTCTCTCCTCTCTCATTGTCTCTCCTCTCTCATTGTCTCTCCCTGTCCATTCCTCTCATTATATACATGTATTTTACTCCATCACCCTCTCTCTCTGTGAATTTCTCATCACTGTTACTCCATTCTGCTCTGCTCTCAGCTTTCTCTTTTATCTTCCCTTCAATTCCTGTAGTCTATACTTTCCTATATCACTCTGCTGATGTTATCGCGTCCCCCTCTCTCCATGACTTTATCTCGTCTTCCATTCCCTCTGCTGTCGTCTCTCCTTTCCTCTCTTCTATCTCTCTCTCCAGCTGTTTTCGTTCCCCTCCTTCTCCATCCTCTGTTCCGCTATGCGTCACACCTCCTTCCTGTGGGACTCCCGGCTGCTTGTCAAACAGTTGTCACGCCTCTGCTGCCATGACGACCCCAGTCCAGATTTCCGAGAGGTCGTGGCGGCAGGCAGAGTGTCAGAGTCACGGCAAACCATCTGTCATCGCCTGTCTGGATCCCACACCGTAATCAATCAAGTTTCAGGAAACAAATTAAAAGCCATGCTTCAATACACTGACTTGTTTTCCCAATCTTCAAATAATCAAAAGAAAAGAAAGATGGATGGAGTGAGTGAGATAAGGCAGGAGGAAAAGTGAGAGAAGTAGCGTAAGAAAGAACAGACCAAAACAGAAAGATAAGAGTCAGAGACTAAAATAGAAAAAAAGAGAGATGACTTGAGCGGAAAACAGATAAGCGAGGGAGAGAAAGTGGAGGAGAAAGAGGAATGACAATCAATGAAACATGAAGTGCTGCTGTCCCACTGGGCCTTCCCCTGGCTCCTTGGCTGTACTAGAGGATAATGACCTGCAGTCTGATGAATAAGTTATGACAGCCTCTCTCCAACACAGACAACCTACAGATCACATGACAGGGAAGGAGAGGACGCTAACACAGACCATACTTTGATTACGTAAATCCCATGTTCGCCCCAAGTGACCGAGAACTAAATGAAGAGTCAAGACACATTCTGAAGAGTCAAGACACATTCTCAATGACAAAGTAAGGGACCCGTACGAGCCTAGGCATATGCATGTGCGGCGTGCACACACACACACACTATGGTAACAATTATAATGGGATGTAATATTTTATTGCCTTTTGTTTTTGCTAAAGGAGAAGATTAGAGGGCAGGAGCGGAGAATGGTTTTAAGTAGTGGCATTAAAGTTACTTCAGCCTACAATCCCCCTCAAACACACACATCTGCCTTTGAGGGAGAGAGCGAGGGAGAAGAGTGATGGCAGCAGGGTCACAGAGTTCACACATTCTCAATGCAGAGTTAGGACACACACTCACAGAGTTCCAATCTCTTCTGGCATCAGTAAAGACTTGAGGCAAGAGAGCAGGGTACAGAGGGAGAGAGAGAAAGGTATGCACTACACAGCATATTTCACATATAAGTTAAAAGGTGGGTTTCCATAGAGGGATATCGAGTCGTTGTTTGAGCCGATAGTACATGCTTGTCCAGACTGGAACTAATCCTAGTGAAAAACACTTCATCACAGACATGGGGTTTCAGTAACCCAGAATAATCAACATAATCTGTGACTAAGATTTTTCAGCCAAATATGGATCTTATTTTTGCAACTCAATAACATCCTCCAGTATAGCATTCTTTTTAATTATATTCTTTTCACATAACAGCTAAAGGACTCTTCCTCCCATCCACCCACAGTAAGAGTCTTACGCATCTAATCGACTGGGCCGATTTCCTTGTATTCATTAGCATCGAGTACACTGTGTCTGGACTATGCACAGGGGAGATGGTGGACAATGACCCAACGGTGGCAGAAGTCATTTTCTACCAGCAGCGCCTGCCATTCCACAGCAGACACGTCATAGGAAGAACACTTAAGAGTATCTCAGGGTATCATAGTGGACTAGTCTATATATATATATATAGAATGTCTCTAGAGGCCCTGTTTTCATGTCAATGGGTCCCTTGGAGAGGAAAACACAGGTGGTCAGAAATAATACACACACACACCGCGTGATCATACACAAACACACCTGGATATACACACCAAGCGCTCATACACAAATTACAACCACAAATAATGGCAGATGTAGAGACACTACAATGCACTACACAAACTTACAGAATTGGAGGCTGAGGCTCACGATGGCCAGCACCGCCCCCACTACCACCAGGAGGATGAAGCGGTTTCGAGCCAGCATCCTGACATGTGATTGGTCCGTCTCCCTGTCAGTCAGCCACCCACACTTTGCCCCATTCCTGCTGTCTAAATACACACAACAAAGACAAGCAACATTATGAATCAAACATGCCTATAACATGCCTCTAAACCAATATAATAAATATTTAAAAAATTGCTGCACACAATGAACCACACACAAACTAGCCATTTTCCACTATACATCCTGTCTCCTATGAATAGACCTATGAGAGAGCAGGGATCTATGAACCATCTGGGAGGGAAAGGCAGAAAGAACATGTAAAAAACCTACCATTTATGTCGGTTATACACAACGCAACCCTGCTATTAGACAGACTAAAAATAAGAGCATGGCTAGAAGAGGAAAAAAGGCAATCAGAATCCTCAATAACCTCCCCTCAGAAATTGCCTACATGACAGATGTTCTCTCAAGTCATGTTCATGCACATTTTTACAAATTATAAGGTTTATAGTTGGACATATGGAGCTCAAAACGTGGTCAACTAAACTGTCTCCAAAATGTTTTTTGCGTTTCAATGTATAAATGTTTTATATGTAACCAGCCTGTATGTACTGTATCTTAATGTGGTTAAACTCCTCTGTGGAACTCATGTAGCGCTTACTGCTGCATTGTAGTAGCCTACTAGCGAGGAGATACTATTTCATGATAATTGCACTAATTAAAACAATGTTGACGCATTGTGACAGTTTGTCTGTTAGTCTCGGCTACAATGCTATGCTGACCAGCTACAATGGAATGGATTATTCGGTAGCTAGCGACCTGGCTAACAGTAGCTAGATAGTCTTGTTATAGCTAACACATGCACTAAGGTAGTGTCTTGCGTTCTGCATCAATGCTACCGGTATAACAGCTAAAGTTACAGCTCGTAAAGCTAAATATGCGGTAATAAACTTGTTGATTTTTTTCGCGGAATCTAATGGTTCCGGTTTCGTCGTTATTACAAAACGCCAAGCCTTTGTTTACAATGTACCTATTCAAGACAAAATCGTGGGAAAATGCTAAGTAGCTAAACTGACTAACTAACATATTGCTTGCTGGTCGTTTATCTCGGATGATCTTACCCGGTAGCGAGTCTCAATCAGAATTTGAATCCACCCAGCGTGGTGCTGGCTTCTACTCTTCTAGACTCCCTAGCGATGTGCGCTGGTGGTGGCTGTCCTGCCGAGTGCCGACTGGCTCCACCGTGCTGTGCTAGCCTCCTACTCCACGTTTCAGATGCAACTGAAATTGAATGGCTCGCTGCGCCACCGTCCCCCGGAAAACATTCGCAATGCATCCGATTGCATCCCTCTTGGTGCACACCTTTTGTCTTGCATGTCCACTATTCTGGTGTGAGACGTGGAGGACCACCAGGTCAACCTGTCATCACCATTATTCTATGGACATCAACCAATATGATGCAGTGATTTAAAAAAAAATTAGCCTACACAATTGCATCAAGATATTAATCATTTTGCAGAGAAACAGTTTGAACGTTCTTTTTCCCGCCACATAAATCTACTTATGCTAGGCCTATAATCAGTCGATACTTTTGATGATGATGATGATGATGTGGAAGAGGTGATCCCCCTGGCTGATGAAGAAAGGAGGGAAATGAAGACAGGTGAGAGGAGGGGGGAAGAAAAGCAGCAAGAACCTCAAGGGTAGAATAAGAGAATGGTGGGAAGTTGTTAGAAATGCACACACACACACAGAATAACAGAATATTTATGTTGATTTATTTTCTCTTTTGTACGTTAACTATTGTCACATCGTTATAACACTGTACATAGCCGTAATATGACATTTGAAATGTCTCTATTCCTCTGAAACGTTTGTGAGTGTAATGTTTATTTTACTTTTGTTTATTATCGATTTCACTTGCTTTAGCATTGTAAACATATGCTTCCCATGCCAATAAATCCCTTTGAATTGAATTGAGAGAGGCTTGTTCACAGAGCCATCAAACTATCTGCACTGACCCTATCTTGCACTGACTATGCACACTCACAAGACTATATACACTGCAGTGCCGTTCGGAAAGTATTCAGACCCCTTGACTTTTATCACATTTTGTTACATTACAGCTTTATTCTAAAATTGATTAAATTGTTTTTTTCCCTCATCAATCTACACACAATACCCCATAATGACAGAGCAAAAACAGTTTGTTTTTTGTGTGCTAATTTATTTTAAAATATACAACAACAGAAAGATTACATTTTCATAAGTATTAAGACCCTTTACTCAGTACTTTGTTGAAGCATCTTTGGCAGTGATTACAGCATCAAGTCTTCTTGGGTATGAAGCTACAAGCTTGGCACACCTGTATTTGGGGAGTTTCTCCCATTCTTCTCTGCAGATCCTCTCAAGCTCTGTCAGGTTGGATGGGGAGCGTTGCTGCACAGCTATTTTCAGGTCTCTCCAGAGATGTTCGATCGGGTTCAATTCCGGGCTCTGGCTGGGCCACTCAAGGACATTCAAAGACTTGTCCCGAAGCCACTCCTGCGTTCTCTTGGCTGTGTGCCTAGGGTCGTTGTCCTGTTGGAAGGTGAACCTTCGCCCCCAGTCGGAGGTCCTGAGCGTTCTGGAGCAGGTTTTCATCAAGGATCTCTCTATACTTTGCTCCGTTAATCTTTCCCTCGATCCTGAGTAGTCTCCCAGTCCCTGCCGCTAAAAAACATCCCCACAGCATGATGCTGCCACCACCATATAATAATAATAATAATATGCCATTTAGCTGACGCTTTTATCCAAAGCAACTTTTTTTTTTTTTTTTTTTTTTTTGTATGGGTGGTCCCGGGGATCGAACCCACTACCTTGGCGTTACAAGCGCCGTGCTCTACCAGCTGAGCTACAGAGGACCACCAGCTGAGCTACAGAGGACCACCATGCTTCACCGTAGGGATGGTGCCAGGTTTCCTCCAGACGTGACGGTTGGCATTCAGGCCAAAGAGTTCAATCTTGGTTTCATCAGACCAGAGAATATTGTTTCTCATGGTCTGAGAGTCTTTAGGTGCATTTTGGCAAACTCCAAGCGGGCTGTCATGTGCCTTTTACTGAGGAGTGGCTTCCGTCTGGCAACTCTACCATAAAGGCTTGATTGGTGGAGTGCTGCAGAGATGGTTGTCCTTCTGGAAGGTTCTCCCATCTCCACAGAGGAACTCTAGAGTTCTGCCAGAGTGACCATCGGGTTCTTGGTCACCTCCCTGACCAAGACCCTTCTCCCCCGATTGCTCAGTTTGGCTGGGCGGCCAGCTCTAAGAAGAGTCTTGGTGGTTCCAAACTTATTCCACTTAAGAATGATGGAGGCCACTGTGTTCTTGGGGACCTTCAATGCTGCAGACATTTTTTGGTACCCTTCCCCAGATCTGTGCCTCGACACAATCCTGTCTCGGAGCTCTACGGACAATTCCTTAGACCTCATGGCTTGGATCTTGCTCTGACATGCACTGTCAACTGTGGGACCTTATATAGACAAGTATGTGCCTTTCCAAATCATGTCCAATCAATTGAATTTACCACAGGTGGACTCCAATCAAGTTGTAGAAACATCTCAAGGATGATCAATGGAAACAGGATGCACCTGAGCTCAATTTTGAGTCTCATAGCAAAGGGTCTGAATACTTATGTAAATAAGTTATTTCTGTTTTTATTTTAAATACATTTGCACACATTTCTAAAAACCAGTTTTCGCTTTTTCATTATGGGGTATTGTGTGTAGATTGCTGAGGATTTATTTTAATTTAATCCATTTTAGAATAAGGCTGTAACGTAACAAAATGTGGAAAAAGTCAAGGGGTCTGAATATTTTCCGAAGATACTGTATATACACACACACACACTCACTACACTGACACTCTCATACAAAACCCCCACACATTCACATGCACTAAATACGCACACACACACACACACACACACACACGCATACCGACCACACAAACACACAGAAGCGCACACACATACTTTTACACTCATTATATGCTGCTGCTGCTCTGTTCTTTGTTTTACTCTTATTATTATCTATCCTGATGCCTAGTCACTTTACCCTGCCTTCATGTACATATCTACCTCAAATACCTCATACCCAAGCCATTGATCTGGTATTCCCTGTATATAGATCCATTCTTGTGTATTTTAATCCTCATGTTACAAAAAAAACAACGTCCTTTTTTACGCTGCATGATTGGGAAGGGCTCATAAGCAAGCGTTTCACTGTTAAGTCTACACCCGTTGTATTCGCCGCATGTGACAAATATGATTTGATTTGGAATATCCTCCTGACAATACTGACACTGTGTGGACAAAGTTGACAACAACATGTTAGTGAGATAAGCTGTGACCATAGAGAAGGATAGATGACTCTAGTGCCTAAAATACAGTTTTAGACTGAGCAGCGCCATTGAAGACTTACGCCATTTCCAAAACTGGGAGGGACTTCCTATTGGTTAAGGAAGGATCACATAATTCCATCCAACTCATCAGGAGGGATCAGCCAATGAATTAAACTCATGAGCAAACATTCCATAACTGCAGGTGGCAGTAAATCGCCAACCTTGGCTTTATACCTGTTCCAACAACACACTCCAGGTGGCAGTATGCACCCTTTCAGTTTGTTTAACAACTCATAGAAGTAGTAGAATAATAAAATTGACTACTTCAAAATGGAGATGGCCTCAATGGCGCTGCCTATACGCTCACAGACTCCATAATGGGACAGCTACACAGAAGAGTACTCTATCATTCTCTATGGGTGTGACACGTTAATGCAATGTTCCTCCCAATAGGGGTCATAGTGGATACTGATTGGACCTTGCCTTGGGGAATGCAGGGACATTTTACTATCCTGCAACCTTGACCATATAGATGATTAATCACATACCAGTAGACATAACATATCACCGTCAGACAGAATTATCATTTGTAGGCAATTTTTTGTATCTTTATAACAGAGGAGGCTGGTGAGAGGAGCTATAGGAGGATGGGCTCATTGTAATGGCTGGAATGGAACTAATGGAATGGTATCAAACACATCAAACATATGGAAACCACATGTTTGACTCCATCCTCCCCTCAGCAGCCTCCACTGCTGCAGCCCCCTATATGTCTTTCGGTGTGTTTTCACAGACTATCTGTTTGCGGATATTTTTATTTATTTATCCAGGTTAGTCTCATTGAGATAAAACCAATTTTTCAAGAGAGATCTGGTCCAACCAAGGCAACAGCAGGTTGGATATAGAATTCTACTGTTTTCTACTACATTCTACTATAGTTTTATTGTAACAGTAGAGCTGACCATTAGAATTAAGCAGTTGGTTAGAAGCACATCATTGTCAAATCAACTTTTCTGAAAAAAGATAAGGAGTGGATAGATGATGTCGGCTACCTGTAGTGCACATCAATATTCTAAAGTGGTATATTGTCCGTGACTAGCCTCGTATGAACCATCCTGATCACGCAAGCTTACATTCTGTTCGCGAGATCAGAATGGTTCGTATGAGGCTAGTCTGTGACAGCACTGATCTGACAAAAAAGGGCAGGTGAAATAAATGTTAGTTTATTTGTTCTGTTCTTTCACGTCAGGGTAGGTGAATGATGGGAGACAATGAAACAAAGGGATTTAAGATAAGATTCCTTCTGAAGTCCTTTGAATGAGAACTGCTTTGATAGAGCGCACCCTTGTGGACACATATTGAACTTTAACAGCACTGATTATCTTCTCCTTGTTGAATTGTTGCTATGGCCACAGACTACACTCTCTCACACACACACACAACATGTACAGTAGTTCTTAACGGGACCTTTATCCATCACAGTAACATTTACTTCATACTTAAATACCTTATCTCTTGTACTGAGGTCACTGAGTGTCTATTGATCGTACCATATTGCGATGACATAGCTTCACATGGAAGCTTCTTGAAAATGACAACAACAATGTCTGATAACACTAGGCCTGTTTCACTGAACCACTTCATGCATATCATGTTGACGATTGCATTGCTGGTTATAGTATGCATATTGTTTATTTATTTCTTGCTGTTTTTTTATTGTGTTTTTATCACATGATCTTGGTGAACAGCCCATCCATTTAACCTGGTAGGACCCCTAACTAAGGATCATGCCTGCAGTCCCGTGGCTCTCAGATGGCCCATAGTGGGCCCCTTCCTGTGTCCTGGGGCCAGGGTACAGAGTGCAGTAAGCAGGTCTCTGATTATTGATGATTAAATCAGGCGTTGGTTCAGTGGAGGCTCCCAGGCTGTCCTGGGCTGTCTGGCTGTCCGGTCTGTCTGGCTGTCCAGTCTGTCTGTCTCACATTCCTGGGTCTATTCCTGCAGTAATATCTGAAGGTATGGCTGTAATATGAGCCAGGCTGCCTGCTAAACGTGCCTCCACTTAGAGAGGCCTCTTCCACAGGCAATGAGAGTCATGGGATGGGCTGGGTGTGATTGGAAGTAGTGTGTGTGTGTGTGTGTTTCTTATATAGGCCTAGTCAGTATCTAATCATGTTTTACATTGAGAAAATGTCTGCATCATGACACAGATGATTTGTTTTATGACTGGTGTCACACTTTTTGTATTATGCACTGCAAAAAATGTTGATCTTATCTAGATATCTCTTACCATTAGAATGCATTAACTTGACCAGTCACTGGTCGTCTTCAATACATACAATTATATAATGCAGTATCAAGTTTATTAAAGATGCATGAACGCCAGAGTTTAGACAGAAATGGTTTATTCAAGCCATAGTTTACTTTGTGATGGGCAATTCCAAGGTAAAGTTATGCTGAGACACAGATTCTTCACTTTAAAATGTATGCCAAACAAAAAACATTAATTTAGAGTTTAACAAACCATACAATTCTATGCATAATGACAACTTCGAACAATTTACACAGTAAAAAAAAAAAAAAAAGAGTTACTGGAAAAACTGCAGATGCAAAGTTTGGAAACAGAATTACAGTAAAAACTCCCTCAATTTTATTCTGTTACCAAACTTTATCTGCACAGTTCTTCCGGTAACATTTTCTGTGGAAAGTAGTCCTTGTGCATAAAGTTGTATGGTTTAACCTGGTAGGACCCCTAACTAAGGATCATCCCTGCAGTCCCGTGGCTCTCAGATGGCCCAAGTTGATTAAACTTAGATATTTCACTTTAAAATGTATACCAAACAAAAAACATTGATTCCAGAGATTCCTTTACCATGGAATTGCCATGACCCATTTTTTTTTTTTTTTTTACATCTGGAGGCCTCCACAAGTTGTTCAAACTACAGTGTGAACTTTGAACCCTCATGTCACTGTGGTTCAGTCTGTATCTGGGTGCCCAGATACACGTGAGCAGTAGGGAGTGCTGGAAAATGAACCCTCTCTTCCAGGTCAACCAATACCATACGTGTCATGAGGAAAAACACAGCAACTGGCGAAGGGTTTAAGTTTAACGTTGCCACTGGCATACACACACCCACACACACACACACCCACACACACACACACACACACACACACACACACACACACAGATGTATAAATAGCAGCTGCTCGGTATAAAGGTCAGTTCATTTTATCAACAAAGAGAGGTTCAGGAGCCAACAGGCTAGAGACATTAGTTGATCATTGATTCTCTGCGTACACATCTCTGGTTCAAGAAAAACACATTTTCAAAAGAGTAGCTAAGTGATCAGGAAAGTTTTCCAAATCAGCATGTACTTGAAGGTACAGGCTAGTACGCAAGCTGAGGTGGTAACATCGAGAATTGGGTGAAAGGTTAAGGTACAACGTTTGGGAACTGGTAAGGAGTTCAAGATATAATTGACAGTATAAGGATGACTCAGCTCAGAAGTAGGCCTAGCGGACATTTTCAACATAAATGCAGGTTATTAGTGGCCTAAGCATACCCACATATTTACATGAACAAAGACACATTCATAAGATATGAGGATCCCACCACTGGCTGTAAGGATATCCCTCCATGCCATGACAGTCTCCTAATATGGTGGATGTGACACAAACACACATCAGCTACTTTACACACATTCCCAGGTATTCCCCAAATCAATGATCTTGGTAAGGGAGCACCCTAACATGGCAGAGCACCCTGATATGTTTGACACACTGACACATAACTCACCACTCCCAAATATAGCGGGAAAAGGAACCGACATGTTCCCTTCTCTTCAGTCAGCTGGAGAAACGTCATCCATAGTGAACTGAAACTAACTTCTGGCAAACTTATGTTGTTATCCAATTTTAGAGCATTTTACAAGTCAATTGTTTATCATTCAATTGTCGTTTTATTTAAGTTTAAGACATTGTATTATATGTCTGATGGTGATTTGTGTTATTGTTCACTAGACTCTAAATTACATTACCATTTCAAGCCCCAGGCTACTGCCAGTCCAGATTGACAAAATAATAATATATTTTGACACTCATATAATCCTCTGATGGCAATGTTTATACTTTGTTATTCCGTTATTATTAACTATATTAAATATAAACAACAGAAGGTGCTAGAAGAAAGGGGGGCGAGAGAGAGACAGAGGACAGAGACAGAGGACAGAGACAGAGGACAGAGAGGCATAGACAGAGGACAGAGGACAGAGAGACAGAGGACAGAGAGGCATAGGAATGGGGCAGAGGGAGGAAGATCCGATTTAAACAGATATTAATGAGTAACGTGTTCTAGAGTAGACCATTGACCCCGGTTCACAGAAGAGCTGTGGGTTCTCATGAAGAAAAAAAACGCTTGTCCTTGCCAAGTTGTGTCTGACACTAGATCAATACAAACACATGACATGACTTTATGTCACAAAGGCTATTAGACTGACTGTTGGTGACAATACTGTAGATTGCTATTTTACATCCAGATGCATCTGTTTTATCATTGAGTGATTATAGATTTCTATTTTACATCCAGATGCATCTGTTTTATAATTGAGTGAGGAGTTAAGCGTATACTTAATCCATCTAGTACTGTAATGGTATTTAACAGTGAATGGCTTCCTTTTAACAACCCGTCCCTCAACGTCACTAAGACCAAGGAGCTGATAGTGGACTACAGGAAAAAGGGGGGCGAGCACGCCCCCATCCACATCAACAAGGCTGTAGTGGAGCGGGTCGAGAGCTTTAAGTTACTTGGTATCCACACACACCCACACAGTTGTGAAGAGGGCATGACAGCGCCTCTTTCCCCTCAGGAGGCTGAAAAGATTTGGAATGGGCCCCTCAGATCCTCAAAAGGTTATACAGCTGCACTATTGAGATAATCTTGACTGGCTGCATCACCGCTTGGTATGGCAACTGTACTGCCCTCGACTGCAAAGCGCTACAGAGGGTGGTGAGGACAGTCCAGTACATCACTGGGGCTGAGCTCCCTGTCATCCAGGACCTTTATATCAGGCGGTGTCAGAGGAAGGCCCAAAAATGGCCAAAGACTTCAGCCACCCAAGCCATGGGCTGTTCTCCCTGCTACCGTCCAGCAAGCAGTACTGGAACATCGGGTCTCGGACTATCTGGACTATCAGCCTTGACCCTATTTTTGCACTGACAGTACTGTATACACACTCACAATACTATCTTGTGATGAGTGTGATGAAAGGAGTCAGGTGCAGGAGGGTAATCACCGAATACAGAGTTTATTCCTTCGATGACACACAAATGTGCTCAAATAGCGATCAACGAAACAGGCACAGGGGAAACTCTAATTCCTGGCAAATACACGGTAACGGTAGAATCCAATAATACATAGGCACAGGGGAAACTCTACCCTGGCAACAAAATGTACGAGTAGCTCCACCGAGCTATACTACTCTCACAACTAACAATCACCCACAAGGACAAGGGGGCAGAGGGAACACTTATACACAGACTAATGAGGGGATTGACAAGACAAGACAAATGTGATGATGATTGGGGCGGCAGTGGTTAGTAAGCCGCTGACGACGAACACCGAAGCCTGCCCGAACAAGGAGAGGAGGCAGCCTCGGCCGAAGTCGTGACATATCTACACACACACTGACACTCTCACACAAACCCACACACACATATACTACATACACACACACACACACACACACACACACACACTACATAACACACACACATACTGACGCCACACATAAACACACAGAGACACACACACATACTTTCAGACTCATCATATACACTGCTGCTGCTCTGTTCCTTTTTTCCTCTTATTATTCTCCATACTCTGTCTATATGTACTGTCTCTACCTGCACATTGATATGGTACTGGTACTCCCTCTATCTAGCTTAATTATTGTGTATTTCTATTCTTTGTGTTATTACTATAATTTGTCTTGTTTTTTTAAACTGCATTGTTGGGTAAGGGCTCATAAGCAAGCATTTCACGGTTATGTCTACACCTGTTGTATTCGGCGCATGTGACGAATACAATTTTATTTGTTTTGCATATGCTATTCTAAAATAACTAGAAAACCAAATGATACCATTCACCTGCTGACACAACACATATCCATGTGTTTCCAGCCAAAAAAAAACACAAGGTAGTATTTGGTTTCAAAGTCCGAAAGTGTTCATCTAAACACTACTCATATTTCAGAACACACGGTAAGGTTTCAAATGACACCAACACTGGCTTTGTAGTATCTACAGACTCATCGTTGTAGTTTCTTAAAGAAGGCCTGGGTATGGGCAAAATATCAAAATTGTAATTAGTTATTTCTCAATTATTATTTAGAATACTGATTTCAAACAAACCAAAGCCAACTACTTATATACAAGAGTGCAGAGATCAGCTAAGAAATAAGGTAATGTTCATCAGTGTAGTTGATGTTTGATAACCTGCCCTGATTCTACAAGTGGTGCATCCTAATGAGCCTATATTGTACATTGACTCAAAGTAATACTCAATCACACATGAACCTGTGTATTATATTGGTCAGTTTCCCAGACTAAAAAGTTATTTCAATTGAGACTCCTAGATTCCTTTTTCGTCCAAGAGCCCTAGAAGAACTACTAAACTGTACCCACATCCACACACTGGCTACTGTGTGTTCCCAAAATACTGGGGAAGATCATGGGATATCGTAGTGAGTCTTGGCAAAAAGACTACAAAGCTGTAATCTTATCTGATAAGGGAAACAAGTTCTCAAGCTCTCCCTCTGGCTCTATGCCAGTTTTTGTAACTGTATTACAAGTCCAGAGGATGTATGATGCTCACACACAGCATAAGAAAGTCAGGATATACTTCCCTATCACGCTAAGCCGACAGGGAAAGGACTATTACATAAAAAGTGGTAATGGACTTCCACATGGTCAAAATCACTGCAGAGTAATTCCATAAGGACTCAGTGTTATTAGAGCATCTACAGATGTAGGATCTTAATTTGAGCCAGTTTGCTAAAGCAGGAAAATAATCCTGCAGCAACAGGAAATGTGAATTATTATGTGGATTATAATTAATGGACATTTTTTGAAAGGGTTATTACATTCTTCGTTAGGGCATTACAAACGTTAAATGCCTTTTTAAACCTTGAAAACACTACAAGTTTGCATTTCCTGCTGTGCAGGAAAATTCTCAGCAACAAAAGAGTGATCAAACTACATCTGTAGTGAGAAACATCCGGTGAATTTTGTTCATAACTCCTCTACACGCTACCGGGCCGGCCGGGTACAACCAGTCATTCAGGGTCTTCTGGATACCACCACAGACATACAACTTCTGGAGAACCAGCAACTTCAGGAGGACCAGGAATTGTTGCACTAAATGTGATTTATGTCATCCACTAGCTGATCTAATGGCTGAATTCATCATAGAATGAATGTGTAAGGGCCAAACAATACTAGCAACTACAGTTATGCTAATTGAACCTGGCTATAGGTTGTAAATGGACAATGGGTCAGATCTTCTTCTGCGGACTTGCATGACAAAGGTCAATACTTCAGGTCAGTGACCACTCATGGCTCACTCTCTCTCTCTCTCGGTCGTCCATACAGAAAGCGGTCAGTCAGTAATGTGATTAGTGTAGAGCACCATGTGGCACATGATCTGGCCTTGTCAAATTGCAGCTTTAATCATAAAACCAAGTGGCGTACGGATTTTATTCTCTAGCTCAAATGAGTAAACTGCATTTTGTCCTTAACTCCGATGGCTCAAGTCACCTCCCAGATGCAGTTCACTTGCACACACACACAATCTATGTATACCTCTCTCATCCAAAGTATTCAGGCCATGTACCCCCACTGTTATGAAAACAAATGTATAGAGGCTAAATAAGGGTTTCCCAAACTCTGACCCCAAGCAGCGCACATTTTGGTTTTTTGCCCTAGCACTCCACAGCTGATTCTAATAATCAACTAATCATCAAGCGTTGATAATTTGAATCAGCTGTGTAGTGTTAGGGCAAAAACCAAAACGAGTTTGGGAAACGCTGGGCTAAATCAATGATAAGTAGCATGTTATACCAAGGTTGTGGTCACCAATGTCCCAAATCCTCCTACACACGTCATGCATAAGATGCAAGCTACCAGCATATCCTTATTTTCAAACCCCACTGTGTGTTTGGTTTGTTTTATGTGCAAAAGATCCTAGTTGGTTACATAACAGCTTTCCATGAGGGAGGTCAATATTATTGTATGTATGTGTGATTGACACTCCCTCTGAGCTGAACAAATCTCCAACTCTTGGTATAGGATGCCAAGGGTGTGCCTGTTCACACTGGCCACTATAACAAGGACCTTTTCAAGGCGGCCATGTTGTTTTGGTTGGTAGTAGTCCAACTGAAATGTTTACATAGGACCACACAGTCAGACTTACTTTCCAACCATTCAGTTCAAGAATGCGGTCAGAAGGATATTGCATTGCAAAACACTGACATGCATAACATTTCACTTTAGTGATCTTTGTCCTTACTCAAGAAGTTATCTTAACTTTCACCTCCCTCTAAATCACAGGCTTCACAAGCCTGTTACTTACGCATTCTAAATAAGAACTACCCTACATTTCAAATTCAATGTTCGTGTCAGTTACGCACTTACAAAGAACAGCAGTTGCAGTAGTTCAGGGAACATGGACGTGTATAAACAGACAAGCTATGCCTTCTGTAAGGCAATCAGAGGCAAAACGACAAAGTGGAGTCGCAATTCAACGGCTCAGACACGAGACGTATGTGGCAGGGACTCCAGACAATCATGGATTATAAAGGGAAAACCAGCCATGTTGTGGACACCTTCTTCGCCCGCTTCAAGGAAAACACTGAGCTGACGATGCAGGACACCACCGCTCACGAGGACTGTGTGCTCTTGTTCTCTGTGGCCAATGTGAGTAAGACATTTAACCCTCGCAAGGCTGCAGGCCCAGACGGCATCCCAAGCCACGTCCTCAGAGCATGCGCAGACCAGCTGGCTGGAGTGTTTACAGACATATTCAATCTCTCCCTATCCCAGTCTGTTGTCCCCACTTGCTTCAAGATGTCCACCATTGTTCCTGTACCCAAGAAAGCGAAGGTAACTGAACTAAATGACTACAATTTGCATACCACTCCAACAGATCCATGGATGACACAATCACCATCGCACTTCCCTATCCCATCTGGACATGAGGAATACTTATGTAAGAATGCTGTTCATCGACTACAGCTCAGGGTTCTGAACCCCACCCTGTGCAACTGGGCCCTAGACTTCCTGACTGGCCGACCCCAGGTGGTGAAGGTAGGCAACAACACCTCCTCCACGCTGATCCTCAACACGGAGGCCCCAAAAGGGTGCGTGCTCAGCACCCTCCTGTACTCCCTGTTCACCCATGAATGCGTGGCCCAACATCGTCTCCAACTCAATCATCAAGTTTGCTGACGAGACAACAGTGGTAGGCCTAATTACCAACAACGACGAGACAGCCTACATGGAGGAGGTAAGGGTCCTGGTGGAGTGGTGCCAGGAAAATAACCACTCCCTCAATGTCAACAAAACAAAGGAGCTGATTGTGGACTTCAGGAAACAGCATAGAGAGCACGCCCCCATCCACATCGACGGTGCCCCAGTGGAGAGGGTGAAAAGCTTCAACTTCCTTGAAATGGTCCATCCACAGAAGGCTGAAGAAATTTGGCTTGGCCCCTAAGACCCTCACAAATTTCTACAGATGCACCACTGAGAGCATCCTGTCGGGCTGTACCACTGCCTGGTACAACAATTGCACTATCCGCAGCCACAGGGCTCTCCAGAGGGTGGTGCGGACAGCCCAACGCATCACTGGGGACACACTGCCTGCCCTTCAGGACACCTATAGCACCCGGTCTCACAGAAAGGCCAAGAAGATCATCAAGGACCTCAGCCACCCGTACCACTGCCTGTTCACCCCGCTACCATCTAGAAGGAGGAGACAGTACAGGTGCATCAAAGCTGGGACAGAGAGACTCCAGGCCATCAGACTGGTAAATAGTCACCACTAGCCGGCCTCTGCCCAGTACCCTAGCCTGAACTTAGTCACAGTTACTAGCTGGCTACCACCCGGTACTCAACCCTGCACCTTAGAGACTGCTGCCCTATGTAGATAGTCATTGAACACTGGTCACTTTAATAATGTTAACATACTGTTTTACCCACTTCATATGTATATACTTTGGATACCATTATAAGACACATCATTGCACAATGTATGAATCACTAAATTGGTTGTCACTCCCAAACAGAAGACAACTGCATTGGTACCAATTTATTTGTAAATGTATCAACTGAAATGTCCCTGTATATACTGGATCAAGGACCACCTACCTTTACAAGACTCACACTACTCCTTTCAACAACAGCAGAAATTACAAATTCCAAGGGTACATCATGAGGTTGGAGTAAGACCTTTAACATACAAAGGCCCAACTGACTGGGATAATTTACCTATTGAAATCAGGGCATTAAAATCACACATAGTGAATTTAAGAAAGCCCTTTTTCAAATGTTAAGATCAAACTGTTTAAACTAATAGAAACATCCCCATGTAAAGATATTTGTAAATATGTATGTATTGCCCTCAGAATAGCCTCAAGTCGTCGGTGCATGGACTCTACAAGGTGTCGAAAGCGTTCCACAGGGACGTTGGCCCATGTTGACTCCAATGCTTCCCACATTTGTGTCAAGTTGGCTGGATGTCCTTTGGGTGGTGGACCAATCTTGATACACACAGGAAACTGTTCAGCATGAAAAACCCAACAGTGTTGCAGTTCTTGACACAAACCGGTGCGCCTGGCACCTACTACCATGACCCGTTCAAAGGCACTTACATCTTTTGTCTTGCAAGGTCACCCTCTGAATGGCACACATAGCTTTCACCTGGATTCACCTGGTCAGTCTATGTCATGGTAATGTTTTGTATACTCTGTGTATATTATAGGTACTTCGTTTTAGTAGTTGTATTAGTAGTTGTAGCAGTAGTTTTATTAGTTGTAGGCCTATTAGTAGTTATACACAACTTTTTTATCCTACTAATGTATGTTTCTTTTCTTATTATTATTACATTGTTATTATAATTATTAAACAGTAGTTGCCATGTCATTATTGTTATTAAGTATTTCATTTTTTTCATTTGGACACTTGAAAATGAGGTGCATCTCAAGAGATTTCTTCAAAGTTTCAAGTAAATAAATAAACTGCATTCTAGTCAAGGCTCATCCTAAATAACTACTGCTGTACACACCTTTCTTATTCATAGCCTACTGTCTATAAATCAAATTCAACTTTATTTGTAACATGCGCCGAATACAACAGGTGTAGACCTTACAAGCCCTTAAGTAACAATACAGTTCAAGAAAGAGTTAAGAAATGATTTACCAGATAAACTAAAGTAAAAAATTATAAAAAGTAACACACTATACACACCATCATATACAGTGGGGGAAAAAAATATTTTGTCAGCCACCAATTGTGCAAGTTCTCCCACTTAAAAAGATAAGAGAGGCCTGTAATTTTCATCATAGGTACACGTCAACTATGACAGACAAAATGAGAAAAAAAATTCCAGAAAATCACATTGTAGGATTTTTAATGAATTGAAAATAAGTATTTGGTCAATAACAAAAGTTTCTCAATAATTTGTTATATACCATTTGTTGGCAATGACACCGGTCAAACGTTTTCTGTAAGTCTTCACAAGGTTTTCACACACTGTTGCTGGTATTTTGGCCCATTCCTCCATGCAGATCTCCTTCAGAGCAGTGATGTTTTGGGGCTGTCGCTGGGCAACACAGACTTTCAACTCCCTCCAAAGATTTTCTATGGGGTTGAGATCTGGAGACTGGCTAGGCCACTCCAGGACATTGAAATGCTTCTTACGAAGCCACTCCTTCGTTGCCCGGGCGGTGTGTTTGGGATCATTGTCATGCTGAAAGACCCAGCCACGTTTCATCTTCAATGCCCTTGCTGATGGAAGGAGGTTTTCACTCAAAATCTCACGATACATGGCCCCATTCATTCTTTCCTTTACACGGATAAGTCGTCCTGGTCCCTTTGGAGAAAAACAGCCACAAAGCATGAGGTTTCCACCCCCATGCTTCACAGTAGGTATGGTGTTCTTTGGATGCAACTCAGCATTCTTTGTCCTCCAAACACGACGAGTTGAGTTTTTACCAAAAAGTTATATTTTGGTTTCATCTGACCATATGACATTCTCCCAATCCTCTTCTGGATCATCCAAATGCACTCTAGCAAACTTCAGATGGGCCTGGACATGTACTGGCTTAAGCAGGGGGACACGTCTGGCACTGCAGGATATGAGTCCCTGGCGGCGTAGTGTGTTTACTGATGGTAGGCTTTGTTACTTTGGTCCCAGCTCTCTGCAGGTCATTCACTAGGTCCCCCCGTGTGGTTCTAGGATTTTTGCTCACCGTTCTTGTGATCATTTTGACCCCACGGGGTGAGATCTTGCGTGGAGCCCCAGATCGAGGGAGATTATCAGTGGTCTTGTATGTCTTCCATTTCCTAATAATTGCTCCCACAGTTGATTTCTTCAAACCAAGCTGCTTACCTATTGCAGATTCAGTCTTCCCAGCCTGGTGCAGGTCTACAATTTTGTTTCTGGTGTCCTTTGACAGCTCTTTGGTCTTGGCCATAGTGGAGTTTGGAGTGTGACTGTTTGAGGTTGTGGACAGGTGTCTTTTATACTGAAAACAAGTTCAAACAGGTGCCATTAATACAGGTAACGTGTGGAGGACAGAGGAGCCTCTTAAAGAAGAAGTTACAGGTCTGTGAGAGCCAGAAATCTTGCTTGTTTGTAGGTGACCAAATACTTATTTTCCACCATAATTTGCAAATAAATTCATTAAAAATCCTACAATGTGATTTTCTGGATTTTTTTTCCTCCTTTTGTCTGTCATAGTTGACGTGTACCTATGATGAAAATTACAGGCCTCTCTCATCTTTTTAAGTGGGAGAACTTGCACAATTGGTGGCTGACTAAATACTTTTTCCCCCCACTGTATATATTTATTTATATTCCAGACTGACATTGTTTGTTTGGATATTTCTTAATTTAAATTTTTGGGATTTGTGTATATTGTTAGTGTCACGACTTCCTCCGAGGCTGCCTCCCCTCCTTGTTCGGGCAGGTTTCGGCGTTCGTCGTCACCGGCTTACTAGCTGCTGTCGATCCATTTATCATCACTCCACTTGTCTTGTCTAATTAATCACACACACCTGGTCCTTATCCCCAATTAGTCATTGTATAAGTGTTCCCTCTGCTTCCTTGTCTGTGTGGGTGATTGTTTGTAGTGAGCTGTGTGTAGCTCGGTTGAGCTACCCTTACCTTGTTGTTGCCAGGGTAGATATTTCCCCTGTGCCTGAGTTTTGTTGTCGCATGCTTGCGCAACTGTTTATCGATGGAATAAACTCTTTGGATGCATATTACTCTCCTGTGCCTGACTCCTTCAATCACACGCATCACAGAATCACCCACCTGCCACTGTCCCTGGAGCGGGTCGCACCCGGCTCGTGCCAGGTGCTTGACGCCAGAAGCTCGGGGCTCGCCTCCCCGCCTCACCAGGTAAGTGAAAAAACGATAAGAGTTCCACAACGACCATGGTCTCACCTTAGCATTGATTTTCTGACTGATCTTCCCCTCTCCCAAGGTAACACCACCATCCTGGTCGTTGTGGACCGCTTCTCAAAGTCCTGCCGCCTCCTTCCTCTGCCCGGTCTCCCCACGGCCCTGCAGACTGCGGAGGCCCTGTTTACTCACGTCTTCCGGCACTACGGGGTACCAGAGGATATAGTGTCTGACCGAGGTCCCCAGTTCACGTCCATGGTCTGGAAGGCGTTCATGGAACTTCTGGGGGTCTCGATCAGCCTGACCTCTGTGTTCCACCCCGAGAGTAATGGGCAGGTGGAACGGGTAAATCAGGACGTGGGTAGGTTCCTGCAGTCCTACTGCCAGGAGTGGGGGAGTGGTCGGTGTTCTTGCCATGGGCAGAATATGCCCAGAACTCTCTCCGCCACTCCTCCAATAACCTAACGCCTTTCCAGTGTGTTCTAGGTTACCAACCGGTTGTGGCACCAGAGCCAGTCCGAGGCTCCTGCGGTGGATGACTGGTTTCAGCGCGCAGAGGAGACGTGGGATGCTGCCCACATTCACCTCCAACGCGCTGTGCGTCGTCAGAAGGCCAACACTGACCGCCACCGCAGTGAGGCCCCCGTCTTTGTATCGGGGGATCGGGTCTGGCTCTCGACCCGGAATCTGCCCCTCCGCCTGCCCTGCCGGAAGCTGAGCCCGCGGTTTGTGGGGCCGTTCAAAGTCCTGAGGAGAGTCAACAAGGTCACATATAGGTTATTACTTTCCCCTGATTACCGTATTAACCCCTCGTTTCATGTGTCTCTCCTCAGGCCGGTGGTAGCTGGTCCGCTCCAGGAGTCTGAGGTGCGGGAGGTCCCTCCACCTCCCCTGGACATCGAGGGGGCCCCGGCGTACTCAGTCCGTTCCATCCTGGATTCGAGGCGTTGGGTGGGGGGCCTTCAGTACCTCGTGGAGTGGGAGGGGTACGGTCCGGAGGAACGGTGCTGGGTCCCGGTGAGGGATATCCTCGATCCCTCCATGTTACGGGATTTCCACCGTCGCCATCCGGCTCGCCCTGCTCCGCGTCCTCCTGGCCGTCCATGAGGCCGGGGTCAGCGCGCTGCTGGAGCCGCACGTCAAGGGGGGGGGGGGGGGTACTGTCACGACTTCAGCCGAGGCTGCCTCCCCTCCTTGTTTCGGCGTTCGTTGTCACTGGCTTACTAGCTGCTGCCGATCCATTTATCATCACTCCACTTGTCTAATTAATCACACACCTGGTCCTTATCCCCAATTAGTCATTGTATAAGTGTTCCCTCTGCTTCCTTGTCTGTGTGGGTGATTGTTTGTAGTGAACTGTGTGTAGCTCGGTTGAGCTACCCTTACCTTGTTGTTGCCAGGGTAGATATTTCCCCTGTGCCTGAGTTTTGTTGTCGCATGCTTGCGCAACTGTTTATCGACTGAATAAACTCTTTGGATGTGTATTACTCTCCTGCGCCTGACTCCTTCTATCACACTCATCACAGTTAGGTATTGTTAGGTATGCTGCACTGTTGGAGCTAAACATAAGCATTTCGCTGCACCTGCGATAACATCTGCAAAATACACTAAATGACCAAAAGTATGTGGTCACTAGGTCGTTGAACATCTCATTCGAAAATCATGGGCATTAATATTGAGTTGGTCCACCCTTTGCTGTTAGAACAGTGTCCACTCTTCTGGGAAGACTTTCCACATGGAACATTGCTGCGGGGATTTGCTTCCATTCAGCCACAAGAGCATTAGTGAGGTCAGGCACTGATGTTGGGTGATTAGGCCAAGCTCATCCCAAAGGTGTTTGATGGGGTTGAGGTCAGGGCTCTGTGCAGGCCAGTCAAGTTCTTCCACACCAATCTTGACAAACCATTTCTGTATGGACCTCGCTTTGTGCACGGGGGCATTGTCATGCTGAAACAGGAAAGGGCCTTCCACAAACTGTTGCCACAAAGTTGGAAGCACAGAATTGTCTAGAATTTCATTGTATGTTGTAGCATTAAGTTCCCTTCACTGGAACTAAGGGGCCTAACCTGAACCATAAAAAACAGCCCCAGACCATTATTCCTCCTCCACCAAACTTTACAGTTGGCACTATGCATTCGGGCAGGTAGCGTTTTCTTGGCATCCGCCAAACTCAGATTTGTCCGTAGGTGTCCCAGATGGTGAAGTGTGATTTTTCACTCCAGAGAACGCGTTTCCACTGCTCCTGAGTCCAATGGCAGAGAGTTTTACACCACTCCAGCCAACGCTTGGCAGTGCTTATGGTGATCTTAGGCTTGTGTGCGGCTGCTTGGCTATGGAAACCCATTTCATGAAGCTCCTGACTAACAGTTCTAGTGCTGATGTTGCTTCTAGAGGCAGTTTGGAACTTGGTAGTGAGTGTTGCATCCGAGGACAGACGATTTTTACGCGCTACGCATTTCAGCACTTGTCGGTCCAGTTCTGTGAGCTTGTGTGGCCTACCACTTCACGACTAAGCTGTTGTTGCTCATAGACATTGTTGCTCGAAGATGTTTCCACTTCACAATAACAGCACTTTTGGGCAGCTCTAGCATGTCAGAAATTTGAAGAACTGACTTGTTGGAACAGTGCCACATTGAAAGTCACTGAGCTTTTCCATTAGGCCATTCTAATGCCTATGTTTGTCTATGGAAATTGCATGGCTGTGAGCTCGATTTTTTACACCTGTCAGCAACGGGTGTGGCTGAAATAGCCGAATCCACTAATTTGAAGGGGTGTCCACATACTTTTGTTGATATAGTGTATGTGCACGCGACCAATACAAATGTTATTTGATTGATTTGAAGCTTGCTGTAGCAAAGCACAAGCACTATCACGCATCCATTCAAAGCCTGATCACGTGAAAAAGTAGTGATGGGGCGGGATTTAATAACGTACTGCTACACATCCGCCAATCACAGCCTTTGTTTTGCGGCTTCCATTCGACGATAAACATTCTGACCTGTCGCTGTAGCATTCAGTGAGGCAAGGCGTGAAGGCGAGCAATGTAAGAGTCAGGCAGAAGGTGTGCCGGGGTATAAGTATATCACAACGAATTTGATTTATTCACTAGAAAAAGTCATCCACTATGGCAAAATAGTATCCCTGTTAACACGGAAGAGACGCATAGTCACTGTCGAGACCGCGAAGTTTTCAATCCCGGGAAGGCAACGGTTAGTCTGGGAAGCTAGCTAACTAACGCGTTACATATACTCGTTTTTGCTAGCAACTGACCTCCAACACAACACGGCGCATTGGACTAGTGATCAATAAGTTACCCATTCTTTGTCGTCAGGCCCCCTTGTCTCCCAACCCAAAGTGGTGCCCTGCGTACGGGTCCTGGGAATATGAGACAGAATGAGTCAGAGAGATACCCTCGTTCATCTGTTTGCTGGAGGGTGAGTATCATTGCTAATCGCTAGCTAGCTACAGTCCACGGCAACGTTAGTTACCATCATGGAATGGAAGATGAAGCTAGCTAAAGCAAGCTATATAAAATGCAAATATGTCTAGACTTATTCATGACTATACTTATTCATGATGATGTGCCTGCAGCAGCTGTTTTGCTAGCTAACATTAGCTAGCTAAATTAAATGACAACTGACGCTGTCTGCTTTTGGTAGGAAAATCTATTTTGCGGCGCAAAATTGCCAGCTGTTCCATTGTATACGAGTTTTGCTATTACTATTCTCTAAATACAAACGTATATATTGTCCGACTATTAGCCATGACCCACGCTGATGCACTCGTTTTAGCACGTGCGCTCGGATGCCATTGTTTTGACCTTATTTCACATATTCTAACATTATCTAATGTTAATGTTGCCTGTCATCCCTTACTATCAAACAATTGAGCTAATCATGCAACTAATGCACAATTAACGCTCAAAAGAACGACGTCGAACATGATGGTAAGCCGTAAACTATCCGGTTTCTCTCACTGAGGTATAAGGGGTTTCTCTCAAAGGCCGCCAGTGGCATCTGGTCAAGATGCGGCGTCAGAACCAAAACAAATGCCCTCCAAGGTCATACCATGGCCAGCTATAAATTACCTGAACTGCCGCAGCCGATGGGGAAACTGTGCAGGCCGAAGTTGTAATGGTAAATACATAGTCATGATGCCCACACTGTGTCGGTGTGACATTGTAGCGAGCTATGAGGACTAGCCCAAGATGTGCTTGTAAAGAGTCTGTTACCGTTACCCCTTAAGGTTCAAGGTATGTTATTTTCAGAGGTAGTAGACTGGCTCTGGCAGCCAAAACAACCACCTAAACGTGAATCGATTCGAAATTAGCATACGATTCTAGAAACAGAAAGCCCTTTTTCTTTCATATAATATAAAAAATAATGTTACATGCAAAATACACACTTACTGTACACTGTTTTAACCGGCCTTCTTTCATTACACTCATGTGTCTGGAGCATGCGTGATAGCTAATTAGCACAGGTGGTCACATCTGTCTTCGGTAAACACGCGCTGTAACATGGAGCTATGGCAGTGTGGGAACACTAACCCTATAAAGGTGTTTATCAATTCAACCTTTTGTTTTTAGAAAATAATTTCATGCTGATATAAAAGATAAGGTCCTTATGCTTCCAAAACCGTGATGCTTGTTAATGTTCAGACCAAGAGTCAGGGCTCTTAACAAAACTTCCCTGTACAGAAGACGCCTTAGTCCAATGACTCTTATGTGTAATGGAATGGAACTGAGAGTCATGACCAAGGGCTAGATGACATTTACATTTATGTCATTTAGTAGATGCTCTTATCCAGAGCGACTTACAATTAAAAATTAAAAATATTAATAAAGTTTAAAAAAATTATGACGACTTGATTTGTAAATAACCACAACGTTCAAGGGCTGTAGCAAAATAATCTCAAAGGTTGACAGGTCAAAAAGATATAGACTCTTACTATGCACATTCATATGGACAATTGCGTGATGCAACAGATGGGATGTTTTCAAGATTATGTTGAAGATTTCAGGACTCAAGTTTCAGCTGGTTCGCTGTAGTGTGTGAAGGCACATGCTGAGCTTGAGGCTGCAGGGCAAGAAGCATTCCTGCATGTTACTCACAGACTCATGGCAGAAGACTGAGATGGATAAAGACTGAGATGGATGAATACAGAGCAGGAGAGCTCCTGAATGCTTGTAAACTAAGGCACATGGCCAATTTCAGCTCAGACAACCAGTTGTGTAATATGTCAGGGAGGATTGGAAGACCCCTACTGTATGTGGTATGAGGGTGACTTGACATCAATACATTAGTGTACCTCCATATTCCTTCCAGAATGGTTATTGTTAGTTCATGATGAGCAGTGGCCTAATCAACAGGGCTGGAATTCCGACGTCACATAAAATTAAGTTTTTATTTAAAAAATACGTATTTTAGCACCCAAAGAATAGCCTGCATTTACACAGTAGAATGTCATTTACACAGTACTATTCTTTGGGTGCTGAATTTGTCCTGTGTAAATGCGGGCTGTTCTTTGGGTGCTGAAATCTGTAGTTTTTGATAAAAATGTAATTTTACGTGATGTCGGAACTCCTGTCAGCCCACAGTAGTCGCTGCTCAACTCCATCGTAAATCGTTGAGTTTAATTGGATGGCCCCTTTCCTGTAACTGTGTCATGCGGGTCTCCATAACATTCGGCTGTGTCTCAAGTCTTTTATTGTCTCCTATCTTTTTATTGACATCATTATAAAAAACACAACAGTTTGTGGCAATACATATGACAGACGTATTGAGAAATAGGCCTAGACATGTTCTCCTTTCCTTCAAAATAACATCAGTCGCTTGACATAGGACTATTGGTCCCAGGTAAGGAAGGGATAGCCCCGCACCCTCCCATTGGTTACCTTTTCTAATGTCCTCCACAGTGCTCATGCTCTGTCGCAGTCCACATGTGCCAGGTGTGCATGTCGGCTTCCCTCAGTCCCACCTCTGTTTACTGTGGGCATCTCCCTCTGTATCTGCCTCCAATAGAAGTATGGATTAATGGTCAACCACCATACCAACAGAGATAGGCCTGTATCTGTCATTTACTGGGGCTTGGCTGAAAATATTCCCTCACTGTCCTATCATTCAATTGTAATTATTTTGCACTATGGCCTATTTATTGCGTTTCCTCCATAACTTGCTACATTTGAACACACTGTATATATATTTTCTGTTGTATTTTTGACTTTATGTTTTGTTTTACCCCATATGTAACTCTGTGTTGTTTTTATCGCACTGCTTTGCTTTATCTTGGCCAGGTCGCAGTTGTAAATGAGAACTTGTTCTCAATTGGCTTACCTGGTTAAATAAAGGTGAATAAAATTAAAATTCACACTCTTATCTGTGTCTTTTTATAGTTTATGATACAACACAGGGCAATTGCTCAGGGCCGCCCCTAGTCTCCACGCTGCTCCCCAAGCCTCCCCTAGTCTCCACGCTGCTCCCCAAGCCTCCCCTAGTCTCCACACTGCTCCCCCTATCCCACGCCTCCCCACCCCTAGTCTCCACGCTGCTCCCCAAGCCTCCCCTAGTCTCCACGCTGCTCCCCAAGCCTCCCCTAGTCTCCACACTGCTCCCCAAGCCTCCCCTAGTCTCCACGCTGCTCCCCAAGCCTCCCCTAGTCTCCACGCTGCTCCCCAAGCCTCCCCTAGTCTCCACACTGCTCCCCAAGCCTCCCCTAGTCTCCACGCCTGCTCCCCAACCTCCCCTAGTCTCCACACTGCTCCCGCAAGCCTCCCCTAGTCCTCCCACACTGCTCCCCAAGCCTACCCTAGTCTCCACACTGCTCCCCAAGCCTCCCCTAGTCCTCCACACTGCTCCCCAAGCCCACCCTAGTCTCCACACACTGCTCCCCAAGCCTCCCCCTAGTCTCCACACTGCTCCCCAAGCCACCCTAGTCTCCACCTGCTCCCCAAGCCCACCCTAGCTCCACGCTGCTCCCCAAGCCTCCCCTAGTCTCCACACTGCTCCCCCAAGCCTCCCCTAGTCTCCACGCTGCTCCCCAAGCCCACCCTAGTCTCCACACTGCTCCCAAGCCCACCCTAGTCTCCACACTGCTCCCCAAGCCCCCCCTAGTCTCCACACTGCTCCCCAAGCCCACCCTAGTCTCCACACTGCTCCCCAAGCCCACCCTAGTCTCCACACTGCTCCCCAAGCCTCCCCAAGTCTCCACACTGCTCCCCAAGCCTCCCCTAGTCTCCACACTGCTCCCCAAGCCCCCCCTAGTCTCCACACTGCTCCCCAAGCCTCCCCTAGTCTCCACACTGCTCCCCAAGCTTCCCCTAGTCTCCACGCTGCTCCCCAAGCCTCCCCTAGTCTCCACACTGCTCCCCAAGCCTCCCCTAGTCTCCACACTGCTCCCCAAGCCTCCCCTAGTCTCCACACTGCTCCCCAAGCCATCCCCTAGTCTCCACACTGCTCCCCAAGCCTCCCCTAGTCTCCACACTGCTCCCCAAGCCGCAGATCCTCTGGATTCCATCCACCGTGTATTTCTGTAATGGAATCAGCACCTTCCATCCAGAAAGCCAGTTTGTCTGCTGCTTTTCTCGAGCAGTTGAGTGATTACATGCTGCCACCTCAAAAAAGCATACAATTCTACCTCTGTCTTCGTAGCTGTTCCATCAGTTTGTGTGGGTTGTTTGCTCTGACACACTCGCTCTCCCTCTCTCTACCCTTTCCTATCCCTCTGTTTTCTTCCCCACTCTGTTCTCTCTCCCTCTCTCCGCTCTCCTCCTCTAGGTGTGGGGGAACGGTAGGAGCCATCCTGACCTGTCCCCTGGAGGTGGTGAAGACCAGACTCCAGTCATCCCACATCACACTCTACGTGTCTGAGGTGCAGCTCAGTACCGTCAATGGGCCCAGCGTAGCACGTATGTCCCCTCCAGGACCCCTGCACTGCCTCAAGTGGGTATTATATTCTGCCTGCATAATTTGATTTACTAGCATTGTCATATTAACATACAGTATCAGCTCACAAGATCAAACAGGCGTAGGCTTTTATTTCAATGTCTAGTGATGTTTATTGTTAACCATCAAATACAATAGTTTATGCTTGTGTTATTGGTTTTGATAGTTTTGGATTTATTACTGTCATTGCCCTCTAGCTTTGCACATTAAACTTCACAGTAAACAGTCCTAAGTAGCCTAACGTGTAGAAATCTCAAAATACCAGAGAGTAAAAATGAGCTGGTCTATTTTGGGTGTTTGCACGCCCTCCGCTTTACCCCCTATCCCCTTGTGGGGTTTGGCTGCAGGATCCCTCCCTCCTCACGAAATCCCATGTTGCTCTGGCCCATTTCTCCTTGGCAGGCAGAGCCATGTGGACTGAAATCCAACTCCTAGAGCACCTCTCTCTCTCCTACCTTCAGAGGAAGGCCTGTCTGGGGATCTGTAGCCTACCCCAGCAGCAGGATATATCACATCAGTCCTATCCTATCATACTTAATGTTTTTCTCTCTGCAAGTTGTTGTTGCAACCCAGCAAGGCTTTCGGCAGACCCTATTCCTAGTTCTTTTTTATGAACTCCACTGAAGTTTCAGTGAAAAGAATGTGAGTGTTTGTGTGGTGGGTAAGGGAATTGAGATGTTCTGTTTTTGTCTTCAGGTTGATTCTTGAGAAAGAAGGAGCCCGCTCTCTGTTCAGGGGCCTGGGGCCTAATCTAGTGGGCGTGGCCCCCTCCAGGTAAGCACCTAACATTACTTTTAAAAATGTAGATACAGTTGAAGTCGGAAGTTTACATACACTTAGGTTGGAGTCATTAAACTCGTTTTTCAACCACTCCACAAATGTCTTGTTAACAAACTATAGTTCTGGCAAGTCGGTTAGGACATCTACTTTGTGCATGACACAAGTAATTTTTCCAACAATTGTTTACAGACAGATTTTTTAGCTTATAATTCACTGTATCACAATTCCAGTGGGTCAGAAGTTTACATACACTAAGTTGACTGTGCCTTTTAAACAGCTTGGAAAATTCCAGAAAATGATGTCTTGGCTTTAGTAGCTTCTGATAGGCTAATTGACATCATTTGAGTCAATTGGAGGTGTACCTGTGGATGTATTTCAAGGCCTACCATCAAACTCAGTGCCTCTTTGCTTGACATCATGGGAAAATCAAAAGAAATCAGCCAAGACCTCAGAAAATAATTGTAGACCTCCACAAGTCTGGTTCATCCTTGGGAGCAATTTCCAAACGCCTGAAGGTACCACGTTCATCTGTACAAACAATAATACGCAAGTATAAACACCATGGGACCACGCAGCCGTCATACCGCTTAGGAAGGAGACGCATTCTGTCTCCTAGAGATGAAAGTACTTTGGTGCGAAAAGTGCAAATCAATCCCAGAACAACAGCAAAGGGCCTTGTGAAGATGCTGGAGGAAACGCATACAAAAGTATCTATATCCACAGTAAAACGAGTCCTATATCGACATAACCTGAAAGGCCGCTCAGCAAGGAAGATGCCACTTCTTCTAAACCGCCATAAAAAAGCCAGACTACGGTTTGCAACTGCACATGGGGACAAAGATCATACTTTTTTGGGGAAAATGTCCTCTGGTCTGATGAAACAAAAATAGAACTGTTTGGCCATAATGACCATTGTTATGTTTGGAGGAAAAAGGGAGTTGCTTGCAAGCCGAAGAACACCATCCCAACCGTGAAGCACGGGGGTGGCAGCATCATGCTGTGGGGGTGCTTTGCTGCAGGAGGGACTGGTGCACTTCACAAAATAGATGGCATCATGAGGAAGGAAAATTATGTGGATATATTGAAGCAACACCTCAAGACATCAGTCAGGAAGTTAAAGCTTGGTCGCAAAACATACTTCCAAAGTTGTGGCAAAATGGCTTAAGGACAACACAGTCAAGGTATTGGAGTGGCCATCACAAAGCGCTGACCTCAATCCTATAGAAAATGTGTGGGAAGAACTGAAAAAAAAAGTGTGCGTGAGCAAGGAGGCCTACAAACCTGACTCAGTTACACCAGCTCTGTCAGTAGGAATGGGCCAAAATTCACCCAACTTATTGTGGGAAGCTTGTGGAAGGCTACCTGAAATGTTTGACCCAAGTTAAACAATTTAAAGGCAATGCTACCAAATACTAATTGAGTGTATGTAAACTTCTGACCCACTGGGAATGTGATTAAATAAATAAAAGCTGAAATAAATCATTCTCTCTACTATTATTCTGACATTTCACATTCTTAAAATAAAGTGGTGATCCTAACTGACCTAAGACACTGCATTTTTACTAGGATTAAATGTCAGGAATTGTGAAAAACTGAGTTTAAATGTACTTAGCTAAGGTGTATGTAAACTTTCAACTGTAAATGAAATGATAGTACTGTATGATAATTTCATATTTCAGGATAAACAATATCACCAACCACATTTCCATACAACTATTTCATGCGGATGAATTACCTGACGCATGAAAGAAGTCACAACCAGGCTGATGGAAACATTAAATGCCAGTACAATTTTATAAATGCCGACAGACAATTTGTTCATTCGACATGTTGGGATCTTTTTGTTTCTGTAAAATTAATTATGCGAGAAATGGCGGTGGAAACGCCATTATGCGCAAATATTGATATAATAATCACAATTTTGAAGTAAACTTTGAGTCACACAATGATATGTTGTGTGGTCCTCCCACTACGACTCGAGAGAGCATGCAGTTTATTAGGCTACAGATTAAATAAGATGAACATCACAGGGTGGTGAAAGTGCAAGGTGATGAGCTTGATGCTCCTTTCCAATAAATATCAAGGGTCTTATTCTGGTGACATGATTATCGATGCTTGGCTGCCGTTTGACAAATGCAAATAATATCACTCTTATCCAATAATAATAATCTCATGTAGACTAGCCTACCCACACTGTATCTGCCAGCTGTTGGCTAGAGCGCATGTGCCAAGACGTTACATTTTAGTCATTTAGCAGACGCTCTTATCCAGAGCGACTTACAGTTAGTGAATGTGCCCAGCACATTATATATCTTTTTCCTACCCCCTGTGGGAATCGAACCCACAACCCTGGCGTTGCAAACGCCATGCTCTATCAACTGAGTTACATCCCTGCCGGCCATTCCCTCCCTTACCCTGGACGACGCTGGGCCAATTGCGCGCCGCCCCATGGGTCTCCCCCGGTCGCGGCCGGCTACGACAGAGCCTGGATACGAACCAGGATCTCTAGTGGCACAGCTAGCACTGCGATGCAGTGCCTTAGACCACTGCGCCACTCGGGAGACAGACCAAAGGTATTCACTAAGTTGATGGTTTATATTTAGAATAATGTTTTACAGCTTTTTCCTTCCATCTAAAATCACCTCATTAAATTTGTTCATATATTTTACATGTGATAAGGCCACACGGAGGACCAGAGACTATTAAAGACACTTGTGATAATCTAAGGTACCCACAAGGGCAGCTAGATATCTTGTGATATATTACATAAAATCCTTGATAGATACCAAAATTCTGGTAGTTTACTGGTTAACTTAAAAAGTTTCCAGTAATATACCCTCCCTTTACAACTCTAATCTAGCCTATGTGGAAAGAGCTACTATTAACATTATCTGACATTGACCCACTGGCAGTCAACTGCACTTTTACACACAGACACACAGTCAATGTTAGCACTGGAGTCTTTGAGTTCTCAGTTGTCGTGTAGGAATGTCTGAGGGGTCACTTTGTTGCCATTTGTTAATAGAGTCAAAGTGTTCTGGGAGGTTACTGTGTCACTATGGGGTTTGGGGTCATCAAGTTGACGGGGGTCCATTTTACATCTTACAATGGTGCTTTTACAGAGAGGAGTTCTGAATCAATCACTATCACAGTGATTATCTTACTCTTGGTTCATCTTTTAGACTGGACAAACAGCACTAATGCCCAGCGCTAATGCCCAGCACCAGGCTGTCCATCCCACAGGTTTAAGGCTGTTACATAACACTGTCGGTCACTGTGGAGGATAAAGGAGAGGAAAACAACCAAACTAGGGTTTCTGGATGAGAGAGAGAAGCCGATCACAGCTGCAATGATCAGGGCTCTGAGTAGCACTGTACTCTAGCCAGCGAGTTAGCCAACCATCTGTAGGAGTGAGAGAGAAAAGATTAGATGCTAAATTGCTACTAATGCTAATTAGCCCCTGGCCCGCTGCTGATGACGAGTCTAGGTGGTAGCTAATGGTAGACTCTAGCTAATAGTTAATGGTAGATGCTAGCTAATGCTACGTCTAACAAAAGCTTGTGCTAAGCATATGCAGAGTGCTTTGTTGACACTCAGGGTAGACGCTGATGCAGATCTCTCCCAGGGTCAAACCACCTGGGCCTCTGACGCAACACAAAACGTATAGCCTAGGCTACACACACACACACTGACTGATAAGCTTTTAGTGGTCAGTTCTGAAGTGGTTTTTAGAATTTGTTTTGCTCAGGGCAAGTTTGACCATAACATGTTTGATGGATGGAGGTTTAAACTACCTGTAGTGTGCCTGACTGTCTCTGCAGTTAACAATGCTACATCTCTGCCAAGCCAAACACAGTGAGACAATGACAAATTGGCTGAAGAAGCAGAAACAGCCTGGCACCGGCTAGACACAAACTTTGTCACTTTGAAAATGTGCTTCTAGACCTACAGGTATCTAATTGTTGAAAAAAGACTAAGAGATTAGACCTAGTACTTGTGTGTGTACTGAATGTATTTACTTAAGGTTTGCAAAATTCCAGTAACTTTCCCAAAATTCTTAGGTTTTTCCATAAACCCTGGTTGGAAGTTTCCCAGTACCAAGAGGGAATAAGCAGGATTCCGGAATCCTCCAACCAGGACTTCTGGAAAACTGGTGATAAAAAAAAAAAAAAATATATATATATATATATATATATATATATATATATATATATATATATATATATATATATATATATATAGACCAGAATTTTGCATTCACTACTCTTTTTAGCACTGTGTGTTTTGTCCAATAATGCCTATTTAAACTGAAACGCTCAGCCCAGTCGTTTGATGCTGTTGGCTTTATTCTTAATTAGCGGGTGTGTAATTTACATTTACATCATTTAGCAGACGCTCTTATCCAGAGCGTAATGGTTCACCAAATCCACGGTTCGTTATATATTGCAGTTTTGGGGTCACGTTTCGGTACAGCGGGAAAGTGAAATGCCAACAGTAACTATATATATATAAAGATGCACTATGCAGAAATTGCTCAGCCGTTTCCTGGTTGCTAAAATTTTAATAGTTTGCCTAATTTTAAGTTTATGTCACAAAACAAGTATATTGTAGAGAATCATTGTACCATCTAAACCGCTGTGAAATATATTTTCTATAATCAAATATATAGTATGTTTCAGCTCTTGGAAGCTAATGCACAAAACCGAAAGTAAAAGACGCAAAAACGAAACTTAAAAACGGGAAGCATAGAAATATCGCACATCGAACAGATCTACCGCTTCTTAGACTTACTTTCAATGAGAATTCACATTTCCCAAAAAAAGTTAATACAAAGTGTTAACTAATTTATTTGGCCCGGTCAGAATCAGCTGCGAAGGGCTGCTTGAATGCAGAAGGGAGACTAAGTTTTTATTTTTTGCGTTTCCGTCTTGCTCTGATGGTAGGAATACTGGGGTGACGTCGGTGTAAATGTGTCAACATGTTTGAGGTGTTGGCAGCTGCATAGGTTATTCTCGTTGAGCAGTAGCGACTTACTGTTAACGTTTTATCCACAACTCTCTCTCCATTGCCATTGTAATCTACTGGGAAACCAACATTTTTCTCAAACTGGAGATCTAAACAATGATTGAGAATCCTCCTGGTTTATCGACCCCACCACTCACCATCATACAAAACTAAGACTGTTTTGAAATGCGGAAATTTAAGATTACAATGTTGATTACAATGTGTGCATAGGCTCTAGTTGTTTTAACAGAATAGCCTGAAATGATTTTTTCAGCTGTGATTTACTCTGAGGCATACAACACAGCGTAGACATTGCCTATAGGCCTAGTGTTTTAAATGTTGATATATTTTTTATGTGTTGACCGAACCAAGGTCCCCATACCGAACGGTTCAGTAGGAATACATGTTACACCCCTATTAATCAGCCCAGTCGTTGCGGCTGTTGGCTTTATTCTTAATTAGCCCAGTCAGATTAGTAGGTAGCTGGACAATAACGTTTAGTGTGTTTAGTAATGTTGTCATTAATTAGCTACACTGCTGCTGGAAGAAGACTAGTGGCTTACATGCGTAAGAGGCTGTTGTTCTTTACATAACATGGGTTACGAGAGCGACTAATTAGTTTTGCACTAAAGATGTTGCCTAACCGTAACGTTCAATACTTTATTTTATTCACTGTGTTTGTATGTGGTGTGTAGGCCTTCTACTGTTTTTTGTAAGTTCCTTGGCAGGACAAGGGATTCCCCACCAGGGACGGTGAAGATATTGATTCCTGTGCTGTACAGTCTGTTTAATCCCTGGACCCTGTCTCCTCCTCCAGAGCCATCTATTTTGCTGCGTACTCCAGTGCCAAAGAGAGACTGAATGAAGTGTTTGAGCCTGACTCTACACAGGTCCACATGGTATCTGCTGGCTTGGCAGGTAACAACACCAACCACCCACTTTCTAACACTATACCATGTAGTCTTTTTTTTAAACCGTTTTATTTATAGATTTTTCATTGGTAGGTATACTTTTCAGTCATTTAATTTTTCTGTGAGTATTTAGTCAACTGTAGCTAGTAAAATTGGATGATAGCCTAACCTGGAGTGTCATGTGATGTGACCACTTCTAATGTGTTAGTCAGACATGCCAGAGGACTGGACCTGACTGGGTCAGTGGTGGTAAGTCCAGTCAAACCCAGACTGACTAGTTCTGTAGAGGTCCCCTACCTCACCTTCCTATTATAGGGTTAGGGTTCTATATTCTAGTCTCGGGCTACAGTATACAGTTGAAGTCAGAAGTTTACATACACTTACTTAGGTTGGAGTCATTAAAACTTGTTTTTCAACCGCTCGACAAATGTCTTATTAACAAACTATAGTTTTGGCTAAATCCTATAGAAAATGTGTGGGCAGAACTGAAAAAGCGTGTGCGAGCAAGGAGGCCTACAAACCTGACTCCGTTACACCAGGAGGAATGGGCCAAAATTCACCCAACTTATTGGGGAAGGTTGTGGAAGGCTACCCAAAACGTTTGACCAAAGTTAAACAATTTAACGGCAATGCTACCAAATAGTAATTGAGTGTATGTAAACTTCTGACCCACTGGGAATGTGATGAAATAAATAAAAGCTGAAATAAATCACTCTACTATTATTCTGACATTTCACATTCTTAAAATAAAGTGGTGATCTTAACTGACCTAAGACAGGGAATTTTTACTAGGATTAAATGTCAGGAATTGTGTAAAACTTAGTTTAAATGTATTTGGCTAAAGTGTATGTAAACTTCCGACTTCAACTGTATCTGCCCAGCAGCTCTTAGCCTATTGTTTCCTGTGACAGCTCCCCATATTACCTAATCCTCTAGCCTAGTGGCTAAACTAGTTTCTGACATGAGGCGTCCCTCTTTGTCTTTCCATGTGCATGTAATTAGGACATTATTGTTTTTTCAAAGGCAAGGGAGTAGAATAAAGTATATTTATTTTTGACGTTCCATCTGCAAAGCCTTTTTCAAGAAAAGTCTCAGTTAGGCCTAACATAATGCAAGACCTCAAACCTAGACATTCCCCTAGGCCTCCTGTACGCAAACACTGGCTTATCCCGTTTCCCCTGGCCGTTCCCCAAGTAAGCATGCCTATTATCATAAAATTATATTGTAAAACTCATACTTGTGCGCAATTCCACACACACAGACGGACAGACAGACATACACTGGCCTTTTCTAGATGAGGAAATAGTCTCTCTAGACGATTCGTTCTGTCCAGTGTCACAGTGGTCCTAGGAGGAATGCAATATGTCATGTAGCCTAGACTCCTGGCTTCTACCCTTTTAGAATTTAGGTCTGTCAGCCAAGCTGGGCTTTTAAAGAGCGCTGCGTGTTTGTGTAACGTGAACGTGAGACTGTGTTTTTGACAAGTTAACGTTAACACCCTATCCTTCTGAGCAACATGACTCGGTCCTTCCACCAGTCAAGTCAAGGTCAGCTCTGCTCTGCTTTATTTATTCTGCTCATGTACGCCCCAAATACCCCCTCTAGTGGCCACGCCATGAGGTGCAGCTACCTGTAGAACCAGTATTAGCCACCTAACAGGCTTCTCTCTGTGATACAGGAGCTCAGGGAGGGGAATAGACTGGCTCCAGTATGAGAGTGATGTGTTGACAGGCTGGTGAGAAAAGACGCCTGTTTGCCATTGGTACATCGTAGTTATGTGATACAGAGAGCTGTGTAGCCAAGTGGCTTCTGCAGAGCTAGGAATAACCCTGAGATCAGTGTCAACATGACTCCCGGGCTAAAGTAGCCTAATACTGATATTATGGGAGTGTAACCTTTACACACACTAACATGCACACACGTTACATCACACATGCTGTCACAACACAGATATCCTAGGCCTTGTCATACTGTGGTATGTTCATGAGCTCCTCTCTCTCTTGAAAGTGGTGTTGACAGTTAATTTAACCTGCCACTATTTCTGATCGTTTTAAATTCCCCTGCACATTTTATTTATTTAATGACTGGTGCTTCAGAGAAGTTTTGGACAGTGTTTTGTTCTGCAGCTTGGTAGACAAACACTCCTAGTGTTTGTGCTGTTAGTCTATTAAGTAAAGTGTGTCTAAATGTGAGCTCTTCTCCTTCCTGTCAGGGTTCACAGCCATCACAGCTACCAACCCTATCTGGCTCATCAAGACTCGTATGCAGCTGGACTCCAGGTAAACACACACGTCTGACTCGGTAGTGGCTAGAGGTGGGTTTAGGATGTGGTGTCGGTGTACACCGTCTCTGTCGGCTGTACCATTAGTAAATCCCTATTACACCTGCCTTTCATAGGAACCGCGGGGAGAAGCCCATGAACGCGTTTGAGTGTTTGCGGCGGGTGTACCAGACAGAAGGCCTGCGAGGGTTCTACCGGGGAATGTCAGCGTCCTACGCTGGAATCTCAGAGACTGTGATCCACTTTGTCATCTATGAGAGCATCAAGCGTCGCCTCCTGGAGGCCAAGGCCGCGCAGCACATGGACGAGGAGGGGGAGTCGTCCAAGGATGCCTCAGACTTTGTGGGGATGATGCTCGCCGCTGCCACCTCCAAGACCTGTGCCACGTCCATCGCTTACCCCCACGGTGAGAGCATTGCATCCTGGGAGCAGGAGGGTGGGAGTGGTCTGAGTGGAGGATAGGGGGTTTATAGTCAGTTGTGTGTTTGTAGTCCTTAGACTAGTTAGCACCTGTAGTTAGTATTGGTTGTCCTTAGACCATGTTACTGTGAGAGTAAAATATATTGAAGTCCAGTATAGAATCTAGTATTGGGAAAGTATTTATTTTGAATGTAGCAGGAAATGAGTGTGCTCCTTCTCCCCTCTACAGAAGTGATCCGGACCCGGCTACGGGAGGAAGGCACCAAGTACCGTTCCTTCTTCCAGACTCTGACCACGGTGCCCAAGGAAGAGGGCTACAGGGCGCTGTACCGCGGCCTCACCACCCACCTGGTGCGCCAGATCCCTAACACCGCCATCATGATGTGCACCTACGAGTTAGTGGTCTACATGCTGAACGGTTAACCTCTGACCCTTGACCTAAGACCCAAGATGAAACCCCAGAGAGAGATGGGCCGACGCCCCACGTGGACAGATGGCATAAAGAGACCCCCGAGAAACTAAACTCCATCCTGTCTGTCTTAAACTAAACAGGAGAGGGACCAGGGACTGTCATCTCTCCCACCTCCAGTCCCTCCATCCTGTCTGTCTAAAACTAAACAGGAGAGGGACCAGGGACTGTCATCTCTCCCACCTCCAGTCCCTCCATCCTGTCTGTCTAAAACTAAACAGGAGAGGGACCAGGGACTGTCATCTCTCCCACCTCCAGTCCCTCCATCCTGTCTGTCTAAAACTAAACAGGAGAGGGACCAGGGACTGTCATCTCTCCCACCTCCAGTCCCTCCATCCTGTCTGTCTAAAACTAAAGCAAATTGTCCCAAAAGCACCCTGTTTTTTGGGATGGAGAGTTGGGTTGTTTTCAGGGGTGCACGACACAGGAAGAGGGGTTGGTAGACAGGAAATCACTGTTTGTTTTGGGGATATGGTTTAAAGGTGTTTAAAAAGAAGCGGTCTCATTGAAAATTAGTCCTTAGGAGCCCTTTCTCTCTCTCTCTCGTTTTCTTGACCTCTCCTCTCTTATTGTGTCTCTCCTAAATAAGCTTCTTTACAAGTGCATAGCTTACTGGAGCAGGTACATTGGGGAGAACACTCGAGCTGTTTTTAGAGTCTAACAATACTAATACTTTCGCTGGTTTGTGTGTCAAGGGGGCAATTGGTAGTAGAGGCTTGTTGAGTGCAGGGAGGTCTTGAGGTGAGGATAGGGTTGGAGGTTGGAGCAAGGTGGATAGGGGATGTGCCTTGCCTTGCGTAAAGATTTGAACTGACCTGTATAGATGCACAATAGTGATGTGAGGCTGAGGAAGAGGAGGAAAGGTCAGACCAGCACTGGTTTCTGGATCTCAGTAGACCACAGTTGGACCGCAGTCATTCAGAACCACACAGTGCTGGTCGGGTCCATTTTGCACTCAGGACCAAGCCTGGTCCCCTCCACCGCAGTTGGTCAACATACACACAGATCCTCCCTACAGGGGCTAGTCCACTCTGACAGGCCTAACCTAACATTGATACTCTTGACTCATACTGGAAGCTTAGACATATGCAGCAGTCTTTACTGTAGGGCCTGATCAGTGTGGACAGCCCTCTGGCCCTTTCTCTGTGTGTGTTCTGTCAAGTGACTAGGGTGATAGTAAGAGCCTGACCCCTGACCTACTCCCTCAGCACCCAGACTGACCAGAACCATCCGCCATTTTTAACTACTTGAATGTTAACCAACACAAGGAATAACAAACTAAAGAGTATGGGAGCATTGTCTCACGTCAAAGTGGCCAGAAGCCATCTCTGAAGTGAGACTCTGCTATGGTAGTGAAACAACCACCAACCTTGTGAATATTCTAAGAAAGAACAAATATTAACAGAAAAAACATAAAAAGTTAACAAACTTAACAAGACAATTATACTGAACAAAATATAAATGCAACAATTTCAATGATTTTACTGAGTTTATAGCTCATAGAAGGAAATCTGTCAATTGAAATAAATTCATTTAAGCCCTAATCTATGGATTTCACAAGACTGGGCAGGGGCATAGCCATGGGTGGGCCATATGCCCTCCCACTTGGGAGCTAGGCCCAGCCAATCAGAATTCGTTTTTTTTTTTCCCACAAAAGGGCTTTATTACAGACAGAAATACTCCTGTTTCATCAGCTGTCCGGCTGGCTGGTTTCAGATGATCCCTCAGGTGAAGAAGCTGCATGTGGAGGTCCTGGGCTGAAGTGGTTACACGTGGTCTGCGATTGTGAGGCCGGTTGGACGAACTGCCAAATTCTCTAAAACGACGTTGGCGGCGGCTTATGGTAGAGAAATGAACATTTTAAATGATCTGACAACAGCTCTAGTGGACATGCTTGCAGTCAGCATGCTAACTGCACGCTTCCTTAACTTGAGACATCTGTGGCATTGTGTTGTGGCATTATCTTGGCAAAATAGAAATGCTCACTAATAGGGACGTAAACAAATTTGTGCACAAAATTTGAGCGAAATGAGCTTTTTGTGCATATGGAAAATTTCTGGGATTTGTTATTTCAGCTCATGAAACATGGGACCAACACTTTACATGTTGCGATTTATATTTTTGTTCAGTATAATGATAATTATATTAAATAGTATATATTAATGTCTTCATAAGATGTACCATTGTTGCATTTTTCTGCCCAGTCATGGGAGCGTAAAATATGTTTTTGGGGGGATTGGGGGGTGAACCTCTGAACCCCCAAGGTTTCCGCCCCCCTTAGACAAATGTGTGATTCTTTATGCACTTTTCTGTAGACCTGCTCTGACCTACAGTTGCATCTCTTCTTTCTCTGCCTCAGAATCCAAGCAAGCGTTACAGATGAGACAATCCTCTGTCCAGTGCTCACTTTGGAGTCGTGTTGTTGTACAGTTTAGCCAGCGTGTGAGAATAGATGGGAATACTCTTGAGTGAAATGCTACAAGATAAGGAGACCCTATGTTTTCTATCCCCATATTTTATGCAGTATATGTGTAGTTTAAAAAGTGTTTTTAAAGAAAACAAGACTGCATTTCAAACCGATTTTCTAAAATGTTTCATTTTGAAACTTCTTTTTTTTCTTGTTTTGTTTCTCATTTTTTATTGGACAGTTTTTTTCGATGAAAACAGAAAGATGCTTGCACTCTACTTACTTCCCTTCCCTTTATTTAGCTGTTTTTCCTGTTATTTTCTGTTTGTCATTTTAAAACTGTGAGAGCTCAATGTTCATCATCTCCTTGTCTACCTGTTGTTTACATTCAGCCTTGTGTAACCATGGAGACGCCCTCACCTACTGACCTTTCCCCGCTCACATGATACGAGCACAAAGAGCCTTTCCAGCACATGTCAATTTCACTGCAGCCATTCAGTCAAATATCCAACAGGTCACACTAACGCTAGAAATAAGAATTAGGTTCATAACATGTTGACAGTTCCTTAAAAACAAATGACTGTATTGCTACTCAATATTCACTCTAGAACCCAGCAAATTCAGAGAGGGTAATGACATAACTGGAGTTGGATTACCATCTAGATAAACTGTAGCTCATTTTCTCTTGAGATGTGTGCACTGCTCAAATGCATCTCTTCACCCTCCATGCCAACTGAGATCTGGGTGACAGGGCTGAGACAATCCCTCCTGTGTCATCATGAAGGTTTTAGAACAACTAAAACAACTAAGGCTGTATGTAGAAAGCCCCATGTCTAAAGAGGGTCAACGGTGAAATCCACTTATGCTGTATCTTCCTCGCTGAACATTCACATCTTACTGCACACACATGAAGTATGCATTATCGGATAACTGCACTATTATAATTAATGCATAGAGCAGGATAAATATCGATAGATTATTGATAGGTCTGTTCAATTTGCGCAGCAATCTCTGAACCCTGAGCAAGTGTAGTGGGTGGTTCCATTGCTGCTAGTACACCCACTGGCAGCAGACAAACTCTGCAAACTAAACGATCTCTCTGTTGGATACCTCTACTGAGTGACTCTACACCAGGGGTTTCCCAGTCCTTTCCACAGGGACCACCTGACGTTTCACATATTTGTTGTAGCCCTAAACTGGCCCACCTGATTCAGTCAACTATCACCAAGCCCTTGGCTAATAATATGTGAACCATCTGGTGGTCCCTGAGGAGAGGTTTGAGAAGTATTACTCTACGCCAGGGATGGGCAACTTTGATGGGGGTGGGGCCACTAAATCTGAACTCCTTGAGGGGCTCGCAGGTCTGCGTACCATACATCCATTTAAAACATCATATTAAACACATTGCACACAGTGAGTCCATGCAACGTATGTGACTTGTTAAGCAAATTTTCACTCCTGAACTTTAGGCTTGCCATAAAAAAGGGGTTGAATACTTATTGACTCAAGACATTTCAGCTTTTACATTTTTATTAATTTATAAACATTTCTAAAAACACAATTCCACTTTGACATTATGGGGTATTGTTTGTAGGCCAGTGACACATCTCAATTTAATCCATTTTAAATTTGAGCTGTAAAACAATGTGGAAAATGTCAAGGGGTGTGAATGCTTTCTGAAGGCACTATAATTTCATGCAATTCTACTCATTTTGCCATAGGGCAAAGAGGAAAAGGAGCTGTTTTACAGCTAATTTCCTTAAATTCTACACATTTTGACAGAGTGGCGAGAAATGTTTGCAGTTAATATATCTGAGTAAGACTGACTAACAAAATCAGTGGGGCCACACGGCTGGTAATTCGACCATGATTACTAAGTAGAGCTGGCCGCTAGACTAACTTACCAATCTAATTTTCAGTGGTGGAAAAAGTACCCAATTGTCATACTGAGTAAAAGTAAAGATACCTTAATAGAAAATGACTCAAGTTAAAGTGAAAGTCACCCAGTAAAATACTACTTGAGTGAGAGTAAAAGTCAAAGTATTTTGGTTTTAATATATACTTACATTCCTTATATTAAGCAATCCAGACGGCACAATTTTCTTGTATTTTTTTAATTTACGGATAGCCAGGGGCACACTGAAACACTGACATAATTTACAAACAGCATTTTTAGTTTAGTGAGTCCACCAGATCAGAGGCAGTTGGGGTGACCTGGGATATTCTCTTTATAACTGTGTGAATTGTACCATTTTCCTGTCCTGGTATGTATTGAAAATGTAACAAGTACTTTTGGGTGTCAGAGAAACTTTATGGAGTAAAAAGTACATTATTTTCTTTAGGAATGTAGTGAAGTGAAAGTTGTCAAAAATAGAAATAGTAAAGTACAGATACTCCAAAAAACGACATAAGTAGTACTTTAAAGTATTTTTACTTAAGGACTTTACACCACTGGCTGACGTGACTGACATAACAAGAGAAAAACTGCTGATGCACAACATTTCCAAATTGCACCTTGTATATTGTACAAATTCTAACTGTCAGTAAGTTGCGACCCAGAGTGAGTTCCCAAAATAATATATACAGGGAGCTCCAAAAGTATTGGGGCAGTGACAATTTGTTGTTGTTTTGGCTCTGCTTTTTGAAATGATACAATGACTATGAGGGTAAAGTGCAGACTGTCAGCTTTAATTTGAGGGTATTTTCATCCATATCGGGTGAATTTTTTGTACATTCCCTCCATTTTAAGGGACCAAAGGTATTGGGACAAATTCACTTGTGTATTAAAGTAGTAAAAAGTTTAGTATTTGGTCACATTCATAGCACGCAATGACTACATCAAACTTGTGACTACAAATTTGTTGGATGCATTTGCTGTTTGTTTTGGTTGTTTCAGATTATTTTGTGCTTTTGTAAATAAGAGTAGAATATATTTCTAAACACTTCTACATTTAATATTGATAATCCTAAATGAATCGTGAATAATGATAAGTGAGAAAGTTAGACACACAAATATCGTACCCCCCCCCCCCCCCCTCCCATTATTGTAATGGTGAGAGGTTAGCATTTCTTGGGGGTATGATATTTGTGCATCTTAACATTCTCAGTCATCGTTATTCACGACTCATTTAGGATTATCCGTAATCATGGTGGCATCCACATTAATATAGAAGTGTTTAGTAACATTCTATTCTTATTTACAATAAAAGGGACCAAATACTAAACGTTTTACTACTTTAATACACAAGTAAATTTGTCCCAATACTTTTGGTCCCATAAAATTGGGAGACTATGTACAAAAAAATTGTGTTATTTCACCTGATATAGATGAAAATATCCTCAAATTAAAGCTGACAGCCTGCACTTTAACCAAATAGTCATTGTATCATTTCAAATCCAAAGTGCTGGAGTACAGTGCCAAAACAAATGTGTCACTGTCCCAATACTTTTGGAGCTCCCTGTATAATATATTTTTTTATTGATCCATGCGGGCCATCAGTTACCAATTCCTGCTCTACACGTACTTGCTTCTACTCTGGGTGGATTGCTGTGTGTTTTTATCCAGAGACATTTGGTACACAGTTCCTTCACATGGGTCTGTTCTCGTCTTGCCCCTGAATGTCTGAAGTGTGTGTGTGTGTGTGTGTGTGTGTGTGTGTGTTTGAGAGCGAGAGTGTGTTTCCGTTCCATATGATTCTCGTCATGCCCTTTTCTGTTTTGTGGGTGTGTAAGTACGCACGCAGTCCATTAACAACAGTGTTGTTTTCCTTTTCCATGTATTTCCTATTGTTTCATGTCTGGCGAGCCTCCTAGAAGTGTGGCTGACTTTCCATTCTCTTCTCACACCCCTGGTTTTGTCAAATAAAAATCTATAAAAAGGAAAGAGTGGTTGGGGTGTTTTGTCATTTTTGTGTGGTTTGATTGTGTCCAGAAAATTACCATACGATTCCCTTATCAAATGTCTGTCACACTTTACCGATAGAGGAAAGAAACAGTTCACTAAACTTTTTATAACCAGCAGATGGCAGTATTGACCACAGGTGCCAGCAGCTCTACCAAGTCACTCATAACACACAAGTTTCAAGTTTTATTAGTCCTATGTACGGGATACACATGGTATACACCATCCAACTAAATGCTTACTTGCATGTTCCATCTCAACAACGCAACATGAAATAATAAAAGATAAGAATACGAACAAAGTAAATAGCTCATAATAGAATAAACGTTTCAGCATAAGTATAATACAGGAAGGCACAATGTATATTCCAATATGTGTTTTGGGGATTGGGGGCCAAGTGTTCAAATAGTGCAGTTTTTAGCAATCATAAGAGTCTGGTAGATGCAGTTGTGATGTGTGTGCAGTATGAATGTACATGTGTGTGTAGATGAGCGTGAGTGCATATGCGCTAAGGTGCAGATAATCAGTGCAGGTGGTCAGTCCAGTTGAATTGTTCCGCAGGTGCTAAAAGAGTGTGATTGTGTCACGGGTCTAGATGGAGGATATTCACATCAGCCAGACACTGAACAGGAAAACCATCCCCCCACAGCTCCAAACATGACATGCACTGTACTTTCAGTAGAATTACCTTCACACAATACCATCTACCACGTGGTGGACGTCAAACCATAGCGAAGTGCTCTTTTCACTAAAATGTCCTCTCTTTCAACAATGTGCTTGTACTTTCCATTCTTCGTACAGTTTTCATTGACGTCACAGCAACAATGTCTTGTAATGTTCTTTTCAATGTGGCAGCAGCAGTTGTTGAAAGGGACAATGCTCCTTCGTCTCCCCTGCTCTTCCTTCCCCAGTCCATACCCACACAGTACCTCAGTAAACCATTGACTTTCCTTTGTGTGTCGCTTCGGTTGTTTCCCCTGAGTTGACAATAGCCCTCAGGTTCATTCACAGGTCAGTGTGTGCCTGTTAGAATGTGACCACGGAAGAAGAGACGCCATGCAGCCTCGTGATGACAGCCATGCGCTGAGAGTGCGCTGCTGACCTTTACTGGGATGCCTCTAAGTGCTAGTGGTTTTGCCAGTTCTGTTCCATGCCTTCACTGACCACATTCACAGCCCCCTTCACTGGCTGCAATGACTCATGGTTATTTAAAATGTTCTGATTGACAGCTACCTACAGTGAGTAAAGGGCTATTTTCTGTGTAAATGTGTGTGCCTTGTCTAGAAGACTGACTATGGGGAGTGTACCCTGTTTAAAGTTCATTCAAATAGGTCAAAGAGAAAAGTCTAGCTTTGAGAAGTCAAGCACTCATTCATTTGATCTGCTTTGGAGAGAGAGACAAACAGACCAGAGAACCAAACTAACTTTTACATAACGCTCTGCAGGAGAAAAGAAGCGCAACCCTAAACAAGATTCTTTTTTAGGAATTATACATTTCTTCATCTTCCCTCCATGCAGCCTCTGTGGAAGACAACAGCCCTTCAACTGCTACAGTTCTCCCCCCACCTCCGCCTCACTCAATACAGGACGAGAGGGAAGGAGAGGAATGAGGGAAAGAAGAGGGAACAGAGAAGAGCGAAAGGAGCAATGATGATGGGCATCATGGAGAGTGTGAATGCAGTAGGATAGAGAGGTGGGGGACAGGTTACACCTTTCATGATTAAACTGATTGGAAGAACAGGCATGAGAGCTAAAGGAGAGGAGAGTGCACAGTATTAATATGGACGATGATGGAAAGCTGGTTGGAGAGGGTGAGAAATAAATGGTTAAGGATGGAGCCAATAGCCACTGTTGTAAGATTATACCTCAGTCAACTGGATAGATCAGAGGTCAATTGTAATCAGCATTGTAGTGCAGCTGCCACAACAAACTGTCAAGAAACAGGGGGTGTATGGGTGTATCATGGATAAGCCCCTTTTAAGTAGATCAAACAACTTGAGCTCCAGCTTTTCTCCTCATTTGATCCTACCTTTCCGCGAGGGAGTAAATCCATTACTAAGTTCCAAGGGCAGGGATGATATTATTTTAAACTGATATTTGATTTCCAATGCCTGGTCTTAGCCTCAAACTGTGATGCGGTGTCCAGCATCATTCCCTGAAACGCTTCCTTTCCTTCAAATCCTCGCTTCTCAACCTGCATTTCAGCACTAAAGCCTTCGCCTGAGATATATATATATATTTTACCAGGTAAGTTGACTAAGAACACATTCTCATTTACAGCAACAACATGGGGAATAGTTACAGGAGAAAGGAGGGGGGATGAATGAGCCAATTGTTATAACAAGCTTATGTACCCTTCTGGTAATGGGCAGGTAACTATGGCCCTGCAAGATCATCCCTACCAAGCCTTCCTATTGAGGGAGTAAGATGATTGTAACCATTTAGGGAAATGTTTCCTTCCCTACAACCGCACTCACCACTTGTGTTAAATCATCTCATCAGTGCCACTTTGCTGTCCTGGTGTGATCTTGATATGATCAACAGACTGATGTATGCCGTAAAACATTAATGGGTTTTCTGAACAGTCAGGAAAAGGAAAGCTGCTTTGACTGAACTTTGATCACATAACAGGCTTTGTTCTCTGTTCAAAGCCTACCGGCCCCATGGGACATCAGGTTCAGAAAACATCACTTTGACTAAATATCAAATACAGGCAGCCAACTACAGCAGCATATTTTAAACATTTAAATAAATGAATTACTATATTTTTGGTTCAAAGGCTTAGCGTTGTGAAGGTGCTGGGCAGCATTGAGACTTCCCTTCATTTGGATGAGACTGGCATGCTGAAGTGACAATAGGTCCAATTGGACAGAAAACGCCAGTGTGAATGTGGTTCAGTTTGTGTTTTATTCACATTTAAAAAGATGCTGATGGCAGCACAGTCTCTCTCAGCGAGACTTCCTGTCTCACCTGGGTCACTTCCTGTTCGGCAAATAGATCTCAAAACCATAGAAAACAAAATCAAATCAGAAATAAACAAAAGCCTCAGTCATAAAAACAGAAAATATACTTAAAGGAATAATCACCATCAGGATAAGAACAGGAGTAAAAAAAAAAAAAAAAAAGCAGCATGTACATTTTTCTAAAATCGTCTTCTGTGACAGAGGTGTCGTGCGTTTTCTCTGAGCAGGCACATAAACAGTAATAGCAGATTGGCCCTCCGATCAACCTCAGCTTTAACGCATCACACTAACTGACAACATCCCAGGTATGTCCACAATGGCACCCTATTCCCTACATAGAGCACTCCTTCTGATCAGGTTGATCAAACATAGTGCACTATGTAGGGAATAGGGTGCCATTTTGGATGCATCCTCAGTCACTCACCCAGACAGAGACATGATGGAAGCCTGGATCCAATGAAACCCACTGATAAATAAAGGGAGACTGCTAGTTGAGAGGGAGGTGTAGTGCAGCAGGGGACTAAAGAGAGATCAGGGCTGCAGTGTCGCCAAACTCAGTGGGGTCAGAGTGGGTCTGACTGATGCCTTGGGGTGCCTGTTGAGGAGCAAGGTCAACACGCACCAACCCACACACGCATAAAACCTCACACACACACTCTGAAAACAGCCCCTCTGAGAATGAGCGAGTGTTTGCATATGCATACGTTCAAGGATGTTCGCCTGCCTGTGTTTCCATCCTCTAAATGCCTGTGGCTAGGGGGCTGGTGAGCCTCAGTGGAGCCTGCTATAGGGTATAAATATAAATATCCACAAGTTCAGAGAGGCTTCCAGAGAGTCTGTATAGATGTACAGTAACTATGTCTGTGTGCATCATCCCCAAACCCCCTGTTCCTCCAGGCATATATTCTAGAAGCTTCCACACTATAGACCCATAGACCCAATGAGAAGCCAGCATCATAGCCCAACACTTTTGCTACAGTCCTGTCTCAAGCCCATCTCTCTCTGTCCATCAAGCCATCATCCGTCCATCTGTCAGACGGGCGACAGCAGTGAGCAAATTAAAAAAATTAGTTAAAAATGGACACAAGTCCTAAAAGGAAACTCGGAACTCCTTTATAGGCTTCCTCCCGACCATCATCACACTCAGTAGATGTCCGATGGTTCAGGGTTCAATTGTTTGGGGTTGACCGTAGTGAAATGTAACCATCGTCAAGCAGTCGTTCATTGTCCTGGTGTGTGTGTGGGGTCACTGGTACTGGAGGTAGTTCTTGATAGTCTCTGGCAGAGGGAGGGTGTCTATCTGGTTGACTCTGTCCCGCCCCAGAGCCAGCCTGGCCACTCGCCTGCACAAGTCCATCAGGGGGAGGGGCTCCGCTGTGACAGACAGAAGAGAGGACATTAAAAACAGGGTAAAAAAACTGGAATGTTTACATACATTAACAGATTTAACATACGCTATTTCAGAGGGACTGGCAATGAGTGCATTTAATATTAGTGTAGACTGAGCAATATGATATCCTCCTCAGAAGAGCTTTTAAGTGCATGTGTTTGTGTCAGAGAGGTCTTCCCACACACAGAGAAACTTTGATAATGACAATGCCCTTCATGGACGTCAGCTTGACCGTTCCACCTGCAGTGACCATCTGTTTGTACTGGACTCACAGAGCAGACACTCTCCTGAGCACTCTGTGTGAAGGTGATGCTCAGGGGCTCACCACACACACACACAGACTAAAGTGCACACACTGCTGAGTCACTGGCCACATGGCTTGGAATAGACGGGGTGGACGGTGTCAAGGGGGACCTTAGGGAATCCTCCAAATGGACTGGTGCCCTTGTAGCTACGTGACCACTAGACAACACACAGAAAGAAACTTGCAAGGTGTTGGATTGAGTAAACAACTTCAAGGAACAGTAACATAGCATGTGATTCAGTAGAGTTATGGAAATTGCATGGGAGGGATGATGATAATTATGATGCTGCTGCTTCCTGGAAACGGTCCAATCGCCCAGCTGGCACGACCTCTCCCTAAGTGGCCACCGGCGACAAGTGGTCCCATCAAACTGCGGGAATCTGAGCAGGAGCCTGCTATTGTCTGCTGTCAATCAACTGTCTGGCTGAGCTATCAACACACTGCTCCGGTGAGTGTAGGTGTTTGTCTGCGTTTTTCAAGTTGAGGAGTGTGTTTGTGCATGTGCTTGCAAGCGTGTGCGAGCATGGAGAAACTTGTACGGTGCTCATGTCTTGGGAATCATGCTTAGTTTGAAATGGTCTTCAGAAAGAAGAAGAGCAAAGGGACAGGAAGGGCAGAAGGCCCACACACAGAGCCCGACCGAGTCCTACATGTTGGACCAGCATGTCTGCCTTGGATTGCTGAACTGCATGCCATGTGGGCTCATAAAAACCCAAATTACACTTCAAACATGGGAAAAAAAGCTAACAGGACAGGGGGATATTACGTATTAATGGAAGCAAATTAGCTGGAAGTGGTTCGGTTAAATGGACTAGAAAGTATTTTCTCATCTCTCCATCCCGCTCTTCCTGTCCCATTTATGTCCAGCCATCCTCCTCTCCCCTGACTCAGTCTCTCTCTCCCTGGGGTTCTCTGACTGAGTCAGACATGGCCTAGGTCCTACCCACAGTAGTCCAGGGCCATAGTTCTGGGAAGATCAGGAGCATGCACTTGGCTTGTATGTAGGTGGAAACGCATATGACATACAGTACCAGTCAAAAGTTTGGACACACCTACTCATTACAGGTTTTCCTTATTTTTACTATTTTCTACATTGTAGAATAATAGTGAAGACATCAAAACTATGAAATAACACATATGGAATCATGTAATAACCCAAAAAGTGTTAAACAAATCAAAATATATTTTATATTTGAGGTTCTTCAAAGTAGCCACCCTTTGCCGTGATGACAGCTTTGCACAGGTTTGTCACTCTCTCAACCAGTGTCATGAGGTAGTCACCTGGAATGCATTTCAATTAACAGGTGTGCCTTCTTAAAAGTTAATTTTATGTCAAGAACAGCTCAAATAAGCAAAGAGAAACGACAGTCCATCATTACCTGAAGACATGAAGGTCAGTCAATCCGGAAAATGTCAAGAACTTTTAAAGTTTCTTCAAGTGCAGTCGCAAAAACCAAGCGCTATGATGAAACTGGCTCTCATGAGGACCGCCACAGGAAAGGAAGACCCAGAGTTATCTCTGCTGCAGACGATAAGTTCATTAGTGTTACCAGGCTCAGAAACTGCAGCCCAAATAAATGCTTCACAGAGTTCAAGTAACAGACACAGCTCAACATCAACTGTTCAGAGGAGACTGCATGAAATCAGGCCTTCATGGTCGAATTGCTGCAAAGAAACCACTACTAAAGGACACCAATAAGATGAAGAGACTTGCTTGGGCCAAGAAACACGAGCAATGGACATTAGACTGGTGGAAATCGGTCCTTTGGTCTGACGAGTCAAAATTTGAGATTTTTGGTTCCAACAGCTGTGTCTTTGTGAGACGCAAAGTAGGTGAACGGATGATCTCCGCATGTGTAGTTCCCACTGTGAAGCATGGAAGAGGTGGTGTGATGGTGCTTTGCTGGTGAAACTGTCAGTGATTTATTTAGAATTCAAGGCACACTTAACCAGCATGGCTACCACAGCATTCTGCAGCAATACGCCATCCCATTTGGTTTGCGCTTAGTGGGACTATCATTTGTTTTTCAACAGGACAATGACCCAACACACCTCCAGGCTGTGTAAGGGCTATTTGACCAAGAAGGAGAGTGATGGAGTGCTGCATCAGATTACCTGGCCTTCACAATCACCCGACCTCAACCCAATTGAGATGTTTTGGGATGAGTTGGATCGCAGAGTGAAGGAAAAGCAGCCAACAAGTGCTCAGCATATGTGGGAACTCCTTCAAGACTGTTGGAAAAGCATTCCAGGTGAAGCTGGTTGAGAGAATGCCAAGAGTGTGCAAAGCTAAACCTCAAATATAAAATATATTTTGATTTGTTTAACACTTTTTTGGTTACTACATGATTCCATGTGCTATTTCATAGTTTTGATGTCTTCACTATTATTCTACAATGTAGAAAATAGTAAAAATTAAGAAAAACCCTTGAATGAGTAGGTGTGTCCAAACTTTTGACTGGTACTGTACATATAGGCATACACATACATGCAAATACAAAGGCCGGTGTAGACAACAACCGTGTGCGTGCATGCATGCACTCACGCACACACCTTCCTATGACTAACACACCGAGCAGTCCCAGTACAAAGTAAGTACCAGTCATTACCTGAGATAGAGGAAGTAAGGGAATTTGGGACAGCAACACAACAGAGCTGTTACTCTCTCCCTCTCTGTGTGAGAAGAAAGCAGACTGTCTGGTGCATCGAGGCGCCCGTCACTGACCCACCATCCTCCAAGCTATTTCAGAGCTACTGGATGCAGGTGACCCAAAAAGTGTGTGTGTTCAAAACACAACCCACTTCTGTCATTTCAGGAGATGAGCATTGAGAAGGTCTCTTGATCCTGCTGTTCCATCTTTATCTCGGATCAATCTCTCCCTCCATCTCTCATTTCCTCTCAGACTCACAATCAGTCTTTGCGTGCAGCCAGGAGCGATGCCAATAGACCTGACGTCAGGATATTCAGTGTGGAACACAGACTTGTTGACTCCAGACTCAGAGCTTATCTAATCAATATGGAGAACTGTGTCAGGGGAGCATGTGGAGATGGATAACAATCTCAAACTGTGCACCAGTTCCAATGACCACCTCCTGATTGTGTGTGTGTGTGTGTGTGTGTGTGTGTGTGTGTGTGTGTGTGTGTGACGTCAATGTATAACATGAGCACCTCATCCTGACAAGGAATGTATGCGTGATTTATTTTTCCAATAAGTATGCATGGGAAAGTACATACAACAGAGACTATGCAGTAATGGAGCATCTCCGAGTCTAATTCATTGACCAATCCCCAAGGGAACATCACAGGTAGAGTGAGAGAAAGAATAGAAAGAGCGGTGAGGAAGAGCGAGAGAAAGGGCAAGCCTCAGCCTCTCTCAAATGTCAGTGTCCAAATTGAATTGTTGACTTGAGCTGAATCCAATTGCTCACTGACCTAACAGACGGTCACAATTTCCCTCTCCTCTTCTTTCCTTGGGGCTGGAGCGTTATTACCAGACAGAACCAAATGATCCAGCCACTGATCCCCAGACAGAACCAAATGATCCAGCCACTGATCCCCAGACAGAACCAAATGATCCAGCCACTGATCCCCAGACAGAACCAAATGATCCAGCCACTGATCCCCAGACAGAACCAAATGCTCCAGTCCATTTAGCCACTGAACTCCAGACAGAACCAAATGCTCCAGTCCATTTAGCCACTGAACTCCAGACAGAACCAAATGCTCCAGTCCATTTAGCCACGGAACTCCAGACAGAACCAAATGCTCCAGTCAGAACCAAATGCTCCAGTCCATTTAGCCACTGAACTCCAGACAGAACCAAATGCTCCAGTCCATTTAGCCACTGAACTCCAGACAGAACCAAATGCTCCAGTCCATTTAGCCACGGAACTCCAGACAGAACCAAATGCTCCAGTCCATTTAGCTACTGAACTCCAGACAGAACCAAATGCTCCAGTCCATTTAGCCACGGAACTCCAGACAGAACCAAATGCTCCAGTCAGAACCAAATGCTCCAGTCCATTTAGCCACTGAACTCCAGACAGAACCAAATGCTCCAGTCCATTTAGCCACTGAACTCCAGACAGAACCAAATGCTCCAGTCCATTTAGCCACGGAACTCCAGACAGAACCAAATGCTCCAGTCCATTTAGCCACTGAACTCCAGACAGAACCAAATGCTCCAGTCCATTTAGCCACGGAACTCCAGACAGAACCAAATGCTCCAGTCAGAACCAAATGCTCCAGTCCATTTAGCCACTGAACTCCAGACAGTTCCAAATGCTCCAGTCCATTTAGCCACTGATCCCTGCAGTGCCTCTACACTCTGGTCCTCAGCATAATAAAGCCTGTAATAGTCCTGATTACACTCACACACTTTTGAAAAGTCTGTACCAAGCCATGAGCATTATGAGAATATGAGAGCTATTGTCTGAGTATCTATTCAGAGACATTTTGAGTCAGATGCTCTAAAACACTAACAGAAAGGTTTTAATACCTCTGCGTAAGACATTAAGGTTACACGCACACAATAACTGTTGTGGATAGTCATTCATATAATAGTTTAAATCGTTTACATGCTTTGCAAGAATAACAATTTCCCTAATAATCCTGATGGGACTTAAATGCAGAAAATCCCCAATCAAAATAAACTTTCTACCACAGTGACAATGTTATTTTTACGAAGCCTATTTGATTCAGAGTTCGGACATATAAAAAGTTTGTATGTGAAAACTATTTCTAAGATACATACTTTCAGTTTTTCTGAACTCACTTCACTCACGCATAAGAGGGAGGTTTGCGCTACTCGGTGCTGGCAGATGAAATACACCACTGGAACGCCAATTAAGCTGTTTACATGTCCTAATAATTTTAAAGATTGCTCAGAAAACCAGGTGTTTTAAATCGCTGTATGCTTACTTCGAGTTTGACCTTACACCGATTAAGATAAGCAGAGTAAAGTGCTTATCTTAAATCGGTATAAGGTCAAAATCGAACTAAGCATACGCCGATTTAAAACCTGGTTTTCTGAGCAATCTTTCAAGTTATTAGGACATGTCATAATCAGTTTAATATCAAATTATTAGTGTGCATGTAAATGTACTCACTGTCTGTGAATCTATTCTCCACACTATCAGGAGACACAGTAGGGTTTTATGGCTCCGAACAAGCAGAGCAATCCATTCCCAGCCCAGATCAGCCAGCCCCTGCCTAGATCTCCCTCCCCAAGCCAGCACTTACTGTACTGTCTCCTCTCCCTATTCAGCTAAACGGCTTCTACAGCAACTCCCTGCCATGATTGGAAGTGTAAATATTGAAGCAGGAATTTCAGCATAAATGAAAGAGTGGGAAGTGAGTGACAGAGAAAGATCGGGGGAGAGAAAGAAAGAGCCAGCGTGAAATGGTGTTCATTTCTAAACTGAGGTTTTGCAAAGTGATGGCCTCTTGTTATTTTGTTGTTTAGCTGTGAATGAGTTTGGCTGCTGGCAGTCTGGCTGGGGATGGTGTGTTGTGCCATCTTGTTATGGGAACAACAGTGCCATAAGAATAGAGCTAGCAGGACAGCCTCATCCCCGCTCTCCCATTGTTGTCTATTTACAGGCTTTAGGGAGCAACAGAAACACACAAAAAAATCGATAAAGCTTTTATCCGTGTGAAAGTCGTGTGGGGAAGAAACTAAGTGTTCGGTGAGAAAGACAGGATCAGAAAATTGCATTAACTGTGTGTTAAGGGACAATTTTGAGAGAGGGATGGAAAAGTGGAGGGACATCTCTTCACACTATTTTATTGCAAGAGCGAAAGAGAAGACTCCTTTACCACAGTGCGTCTAAAACGGAAATATGGAAAAGCTACCTGGGGGAATACGAGTCAATGCCAGGCATCTCAGAGTATGCATACTAATATACTGTCTGCATTTTCCTGTTGCCCCATTTCCACAGCATAATTAAGCATTAAGGCCAGAGGGGGTGTGGCAGGGCCTGTTCTCAGGCATGACGCGCATATATCAAACCCCAGGTGCCTTATAGCTATTATAAACTGGTTACTAAGATCAATAAATAAGTCTTCTTGCGTCGGACCAGTGGTATATTACTGCTGCTCTTTAATTATGTTATTTTTCTTCATTATTATTATTTATTTATCTATTTTTACTTAACACTTATTTTTCTTAAAACTGCATTGTTGGTTAAGGGCTTGTAAGTAAGCATTTCCCTGTAAGGTCTACACCGGTTGTATTTGGCACATATGACAAATACAATTTGATATTGTCTGATATACCCCCGGCTGAAATGCTGTTTCAGCCAATCAGCATCCAGTACCCAAATTACCCAGTTTATAATATACCATGCTTTCCTCTGGAGCATTCCAGCAGAACAAATAAATACTCTTAACATCACTGCAGAGAGCAGAGGACACACACAGGATCCCTACATAATGTCTATAGAAGGCTAACATGATGAGGCTACAGTTCATATGAAATACATTCATTATGGCCCTAATCTATGGATTTCACATGACTTGGAATACAGATATGCATCTGTTGGTCTCAGATACCCTTCAAAAAACAACAACATGGGCCTCAGGATCTCGTCATGGTATTTCTGTGCATTCAAATTGCCATCGATAGAATGCAATTGTGTTCGTTGTCTGTAGCTTATGCCTGCCCATACCATAACCCCACTGCCACCATGGGGCACTCTGTTCACAACATCAGCAAACCGCTAGCCCACACAACGCCATACATGTGGTCTGCGGTTGTGAGACCAGTTGGACATACTGCCAAATTCTCTAAAACGACGTTGGAGGCAGCTTATGGTAGAGAAATTAACATTCAATTATCTGGCAACAGCTCTGATGGACAGAGACACCATGCCCTATGATAAACCAACACTACAACCCCTCCTTTGTCCTCTTGAAAGTAAACCAGTTGATAAAGAATAGGCCTTCTGTTCCAATGGGCCATAGATAAATGCATTAATGTCACGTTCTACACAAACAGCCCAGTGTGTTGGTGTGTGAGATCGAGACAACAAGAAAACCATGCAACAGAGGGTGACTGTATGGGGCACAATAAACACACACACACCTCCCTTTGCAAGGCCAGACGTTGAGCTCAGAGGCACACTGGGATTGCCTCCAGAATTCCTCCACTCCTGGCTCCCTTCCGTGAACTCACACACTAACACCTGGCTTGCAGACATGGAAATGTAGTTTATGTCTGACCGTCTAAGCGCCCTCGTCCTGCTTTGGGTCTTTCTGTAACATATACAGTGGGGGAGGGTGATAGTGTCACATAATCCAAAGGGACAGAACGGTCCTAGATGACTCCCACAGTAGGTGATCTTCATATCATCTGCTATACTTAGACACCCCCCCCCCCCACACACACACACAGACAGACATTAGGCTGCTTCCTATGGGTAAACACGTCTTTTTATAGATCACAGCAGGGACGGACAGAGAAACACACCAGCAGGCCCTCCCACTTTCTCTCCACAGTAGCGGAGCCAGTTACTCCACCCTAGAACTGTATACGGTCAACCCAGCCAGCCTGCAGTATAAAACACTATCCATCAGCCAGTCTCTCTGTGCGGACAAGACACTGATCAGTGTACTGGAGGCTGTAGATTGACAGAGACCATAGTGGCAAACTCTCCTGGAGAGCTACTGTGTATTCCAGCTCCTGCTCCGGCCTTGCTCTAACACAGCTGATACAGCTAATCTAGGTCCTGATGAGCAGCTGATTGGTAGAATCTCAGTAACCAATAGGTCTTCAGGAGGCAGGTAGGCCACCCATGGTATACAGCATTTCTAGTCAATCTGTGACTGTCACAACTACAGTATTATTCAGACAGAGTCTCTGGGACTAACCTAGTGAGGAAACAGTCCCTTATTCTCTTTGTCTCAACACACAGCCTCATCGTCTCCAGTCCATTATGTCCAAAACCCATGACTGACAGACAGACACACAGATGATTACCTCCAAAATGTCTTTCTCAGTCAACCTTTTTGAGCAGGTTTCTCCAGTGGTTAGCTTCAAGGAGGACTATTCTGGACTGATGTGCAGAGTGCTTTTTTTGACACCTTTGCAGATGTTGTGACTTCACCCAGGTGGGTGCTACACATCGGTAGTGGGGGGGGGGGGGGTCTACCCATGGAGTCTGACTTCAGAGAGTACTACTGAGAAACGCTGCTTCAGCAACGGCACCCTGATAAATGGTTCTGGACCAGTCTGAAAGCCCCTGGATGTGACCTCCCTCTGTTTCATCTCCGAACTGCCTCTATCCTGCTGGCGCTGACTGCTCAAGCCATTAATGAACTACCTGCCTGCCATGATCGTCCATTAACTATTTGTTTTTCAAAATGGAGTCTTTTTAATTTTTATGCTTAAAGCGCTTTGAGATTGTAATGAAAAGTGCTATACGTTTAATTTATTACTAATCACTCGCCCCCTTACTCACCTTCACCTCTCCATCTCTCCCTCCCCCCATTCTCTTTTCTTCCGCCATCCCTCCATCCCTCCATCTCTCCATCCCTCCCTCCCCCCATTCTCTTTTCTTCCTCCATCCCTCCATCTCTCCATCCCTCCTCCTGGTCATATTCTGGGCTGTGTCGCTGTGCTCTGTGCGGGTCGATTAAGCAGAAATCTCCCCCTTGGCCAGAGCAGCTGCCTCAGCACTTCGGAAATAAACCCCGGCTCCAAACACAATGTCATTGTGCTGCTCAACATTTCCTACAGATGCCTCCCTCCCTCCCTCCCTCGCCTCCCCTCATCTACAAGGTAAGCAATTCAAAGTGAGCTCTTGGAGTATTCAGAGAGACGGAGAGGGTATGGGTGTATGAGTCACTGGCTTTCGACATTGGCTCTTGTTTAGAAAACAAAGCACAGAGAGAAAGAAAGAAAGTAAAGTGAGCACCGTTAAGGCATAATTTACCATTGACCTGCTGATATTATAGTTGCTTTGAGCTACAGTATCACAGAATACATAGCCTTGTCTGAGTATGCTATGCTGTATGTATGCTGACCGAGGTATGCAAAACCACAGCAAAAAAAACAGAAAATCACACAATATCATGTAGACAGACAGAACACACACAGAAGACAAAACAGCCAGAGAGAGAGAGCAAGAGGCAGACAGAAAGGAGAGAGGAATAGAGCGAGGTAAACAGAAAGAGAGAGAGAGAGAGAGGTAGACAGAAAGAGAGAGAGAGAGAGAGGTAGACAGAAAGAGGGAGAGAGAGAGAGGTAGACAGAAAGAGGGAGAGAGAGAGAGGTAGACAGAAAGAGGGAGAAAGAGAGAGGTAGACAGAAAGAGAGAGAGAGAGAGAGAGGAGAGGTAAACAGAAAGAGAGAGAGAGGTAGACAGAAAGAGGGAGAGAGAGAGAGGTAGACAGAAGAGGGAGAGGAATAGAGAGAGGTAAACAGAAAGAGAGAGAGAGAGAGAGGTAGACAGAAAGAGGGAGAGGAATAGAGAGAGGTAAACAGAAAGAGGGAGAGAGAGAGAGGTAAACAGAAAGAGGGAGAGAGAGAGAGAGGTTGACAGAAAGAGGGAGAGGAATAGAGAGAGGTAGACAGAAAGAGGGAGAGAGAGAGAGAGAGGTAAACAGAAAGAGGGAGAGAGAGAGAGAGGGTAAACAGAAAGAGGGAGAGAGAGAGAGAGGTAGACAGAAAGAGGGAGAGAGAGAGAGAGGTAGACAGAAAGAGAGGAACAGACAGTAGGGTGAGAGAGATGTTTCCCACTGTCAGGGCATAAGGACAATGACTTACGATCCAGTCCATTGACGTAGCGGATGGAGACCTCACAATGTCCCCACACGGCGCTGACGATGGGGTACAGCTTCTTGCCTTTTAACCCTCTGAAAGCCACGCCCAGGTACTGGCCGTCCACCATGAAGCTGAGCGTGCCCTCGTCCATGTCCAGCACCACCAGCAGGGCATCAGGCAGAACAAACGACTCGTCTGCCTCCAGGAAACACGGGTACGTTGGTGCCGAGGTGGAGGCAGGCCGGTTCTTACTGTCGTGGTAGAGTCTGTTCCGGCCCAAGTCCCAGCCCCATGACTCACAGTCAGAACCCACCAGGGCTGTGTAACCCACAGAGTGTAGAAGAGAGTCAGCCGTGCCCACCCCTACGACAGCATGTGTTCCTCGCTGTCTCGCCGGCCAGTGGATCCGCCAGACATGGAGCCCCCGTGTGTAACCCACCTGGCCGCGGATGCAGTCGGTGCTCTGGGCCACCGGGTGGCGGTGGAAGGTCAGCTTGTCGTCCTCCTTGACAAAGACGTTGAGCGAGCGGTCCTCTGGGTTCCAGGCGTGGTGGAGCTGTAGGTCAGAGGTCGCAGGGGGCATGTCCAGAAGTAGGTCCAGACGAGGAGGCCGGCAGAAGTCTGGACCCCGCAGCTCACGGCGGACAGGCCGGTATGAGGGCTCGCCCCGTGTGTCAACCGACTTGATGCTGCCCGAGATCTTCTGACCCATCGCCGGAGAGGGGGATGGGGGGAGGGATAAAGGGGAGTGGGGGTGGAGGGCGGAGCGAGGGTGGTATGGGGCTTCCCGCCGTTACCTCATGAGCGCTGTAGCCAGAAGGGCAGTCGTCCCTGGCTGAGAGACGCTCTCACAGAGACACTCAGTCTACTGTGAAAGTAACCTTGCTCCTAGAGGAGAGACAGAAGAAAACATTACTTGACTTTATCATCATGACATATTCTCACTTTCCCAAACTCATGTTATACACTGCGGCTATGGCAAGATAATACAACAAGGCCATTTTCCTTACATATCAAAATTCAACTCTCAAACAGACAGGCTAATGCAGCTGCAACTGAAAAAAGGCTTCCTTCACCCAGAATAAAAACAGTCAAGAGTAGAGAAAGGGGGAGGAGAGGAAGCGCACAAGAGAAAGAAAGATGTACCAGTCTGAAACAGCCGCAGGCTGCTCTGTAGTTCCTAACAGCACTCTGGAAGAAGAGGGGGAACATCTGAGCAACAAAAAGGGAGGATGAACTCTTCTTCTCTTCTACTGACTCACTCAAACACATGAAGACATTCCTCCTCAGTTACCAGCCTCACACTCCATCCAAGATGGCGAAGTAGTGCAGTTCTGTTTTTGTCGTGCGTCTGTAAATAGCCTGTAAATACCCTGTTTTTTTAGTATTTTTCGTACATATTTCCCTATCAGACTTTTCATCCTTCTACAAAATATACTTTCCTGCAACCCGCCTCACTCAATGTGGAACGGATTCTATTATTGACTTACCTTTTATCTAGAATCTCCAGTTGAAACTAGCTAGCCAGCTAACTAGCTACTTGCTATTACCCACAGTTAGCGGTATTTCACCCAGAACATTTGATTTTTTTTCTGCTGGATTAATTTAATCACTGGATATTAATCACCGGATATTCGGCCAGTCTGCACAGCGAGTTATCGACCCAGAACATATCCGTTTTTCTGCCGGAATCACTGAATCACTGGACCTTTAACTCCGGATTCATCGCTACCAGCTAGCTTCAACTAAATGGACGCTGTGGTCTGGCTAATCATCCTGAGCTAGGCCCATCTCCCGGCTATCTACCTCTCTGTCAACCGGACGGGACCACCTAGTGTTGACACGGAGCCCCGCCGATCCTACACGACTGGTCTGCCGACGAAATCGTCTGATGTGGTTACGACGACGTCGACCACGAAGATTCCATCTGCTAGCCCCGGCCCGCTAGCACACGCTAGCCGTGGCCTCTTACCTGCTAGTGCTTTAGCAGCCTCCGAACTATCCTATTGTTGTTCACCGGACCTTATGATAACTCAGCTATACAGCTGATGTCTGCTGGACTGTTCCTTTTTACAGTACTACATCCTGTTTATGTTTAGCCTCAGCCCAAACATGGTTAGCTTATTGTTGTTTCGGTTATTTCTAATTGTACTATTTCACTGTAGATCCCCCAGCCCAACTAAACCTGCCTTAGATAGCTCCTTTGTCCCACCCCCCATACACGCAGAGACCGACTCAATTGGTGCCTCTAGTGATACTATCTCTTTCATTGTTACCCAACGCTTAGGTTTACCCCCACTTTACTCATATCCTTCCATATCCTTGTCTGTACATAATGCCCTGAATCTTTTCTACAACACCCGGAAATCTGCCCCCTTTATTCTATGTACCCAACGCACTAGAAGACCAGTTCTTAAAGCCTTTAGCCGTATCCTTATTCTAGTCCTCCTCTGTTCCTCTGGTGATGTAGAGGCTAACCCAGGCCCTGCAGCCCTCAGTATCACTCCTACTCCCCAGGCGCTATCATTTGCTGACTTCTGTAATCGCAAAAGTCTTGGTTTCTTGCACGTAAACATCAGAAGTCTACTTCCTAAGTTTGAGTTATTCACTGCGTTAGCACACTCCGCCAACCCTGATGTTCTAGCAGTGTCTGAATCCTGGCTCAGGAAGGCCACCAAAAATTCTGAAATGTCCATCCCCAACTATAACATTTTCCATCTAGATAGAACTGCCAAAGGGGGTGGAGTTGCAATCTACTGTAGAGATAGCCTGCAGAGCTCTATCATACTATCCAGGTCTGTGCCCAAACAGTTTGAGCTTCTACTTCTAAAAATCCACCTTTCCAGAAATAAGTCTCTCACTGTTGCCGCTTGCTACAGACCCCCCTCAGCCCCCAGATGTGCCCTGGACACCATATGTGAATTGATTGCCCCCCATTTATCCTCAGAGTTCGTACTGCTTGGTGACCTAAATTGGGATATGCTTAATACCCCGGCCATCCTACAATCCAAACTAGATGCCCTCAACCTTATCAACAAACCTACCAGGTACAACCCTAAATCCGTAAACATGGGTACCCTCATAGATATCATCCTGACTAACATACCCTCTAAATACACCTCAGCTGTCTTCAACCAGGATCTCAGCGATCACTGCCTTATTGCCTGCGTCCGTAACGGGTCCGCGGTCAAACGACCACCCCTCATCACTGTCAAACCCTCCCTAAAACACTTTAGCGAGCAGGCCTTCCTAATTGACCTGGCCCAGGTATCCTGGATGGATATAGATCTCATTCCGTCAGTAGAGGATGCCTGGTTGTTCCTTAAAAGTAATTTCCTCTCAATCTTAAATAAACATGCCCCATTCAAAAAATACAGAACTAAGAACCGATATAGCCCCTGGTTCTCCTCAGACTTGACTGCCCTTGACCAGCACAAAAACATCCTGTGGCGTACTGCATTAGCATCAAATAGCCCCCGCGATATGCAACTTTTCAGGGAAGTTAGGAACCAATATACACAAGCAGTCAGGAAAGCAAAGGCAAACTTTTTCAAACAGAAATTTGCATCCTGTAGCACTAACTCCAAAAAGTTTTGGGACACTGTAAAGTCCATGGAGAATAAGAGCACTTCCTCCCAGTTGCCCACTGCACTGAGGCTAGGAAACACTATCACCACCGATAAATCTACAATAATCGAGAATTTCAACAAGCATTTTGCTACAGCTGGCCATGCTTTCCATCTGGCTACCACTACCCCGGCCACCAACTCTGCACCCTCCGCTGAAACTTGCCCATGCCCCCCCCCCCGCTTCTCCTTCACACAAATTCAGACAGCTGATGTTTTGAAAGAGCTGCAAAATCTGGACCCCTACAAATCAGCTGGGCTAGACAATCTGGACCCTTTCTTTCTAAAACTAGCTGCCGAAATTGTCCCAACCCCTATTACTAGTCTGTTCAACCTCTCATAACGTCTGCGATCCCCAGAGATTGGAAAGCTGCCGCGGTCATCCCCCTCTTCAAAGGGGGTGACACTCTAGATCCAAACTGCTACAGACCTATATCCATCCTGCCCTGCCTTTCGAAAGTATTTGAAAGCCAAGTTAACAAACAGATCACCGACCATTTCGAATACCACCGTACCTTCTCCGCTATGCAATCCGGTTTCCGAGCTGGTCATGGGTGCACTTCAGCCACGCTCAAGGTCCTAAACGATATTATAACCGCGATTGATAATAGACAGTACTGTGCAGCCGTCTTCATCGACCTGGCCAAGGCTTTCGACTCTGTCAACCACCGCATTCTTATTGGCAGACTAAATAGCCTTGGTTTCTCAAATGACTGCCTCGCCTGGTTCACCAACTACTTCTCAGATAGAGTTCAGTGTGTCAAATCGGAGGTCCTGTTGTCTGGACCTATGGCAGTCTCTATGGGGGTGCCACAGGGTTCAATTCTTGGGCCGACACTTTTCTCCGTGTATATCAATGATGTCGCTCTTGCTGCTGGTGACTCTCAGATCCACCTCTACGCAGACGACACCATTTTGTATACATCTGGCCCTTCATTGGACACTGTGTTAACAAACCTCCAAACGAGCTTCAATGCCATACAACACTCCTTCAGTAGCCTCCAACTGCTCTTAAACACTAGTAAAACTAAATGCATGCTTTTCAATCGAACGCTGCTGGCACCCGCCCACCCGACTAGAATCACCACTCTTGACGGGTCTGACCTAGAGTATGTGGACAACTACAAATACCTAGGTGTCTGGTTAGACTGTAAACTCTCCTTCCAGACTCACATAAAGAATCTCCAATCCAAAGTTAAATCTAGAATCGGCTTCCTATTTCGCAACAAAGCCTCCATCACTCATGCTGCCAAACATGCCCTCGTAAAACTGACTATCCTACCGATCCTTGACTTCGGTGATGTCATTTACAAAATAGCCTCCAACACTCTACTCAGCAAATTGGATGTAGTCTATCACAGTGCCATCCGTTTTGTCTCCAAAGCCCCATACGCTACCCACCACTGTGACCTGTACGCTCTTGTTGGCTGGTCCTCACTACATGTTCATCGTCAAACCCACTGGCTCCAGGCCATCTATAAATCACTGCTAGGCAAATCCCCGCCTTATCTTAGCTCATTGGTCACCATAGCAGCACCCACCCGTAGTCTGCGCTCCAGCAGGTATATCTCACTGGTCATTCCCAAAGCCAACACCTCCTTTGGCCGCCATTCCTTCCAGTTCTCTGCTGCCAATGACTGGAACGAATTGCAAAAATCTCTGAAGCTGGAGACTCTTATCTCCCTCAATAACTTTAAGCATCAGTTGTCAGAGCACCTTACCGATCACTGCACCTGTACACAGCCCATCTGAAATTAGCCCACCCAACTACCTCATCCCTATATTGTTATTTATTTTGCTCTTTTGCACCCCAGTATCTCTATTTGCACATAATCTCTTGCACATCTAGCATTCCAGTGTTAATACTATTGTAATTATTTTGCACTATAGCCTATTTATTGCCTTACCTCCATAACTTGCTACATTTGCACACACTGTATATATATTTTCTGTTGTATTTTTGACTTTATGTTTTTACCCCATATGTAACTGTGTTGTTTTTAATCGCACTGCTTTGCTTTATCTTGGCCAGGTCGCAGTTGTAAATGAGAACTTGTTCTCAACTGGCTTACCTGGTTAAATAAAG